CCCGACCATTGAAATTATTTAAAAAGGTAAACAGAAGAGGAGCTGTGCATAAAAACCTCATAAAAATTAAAACCACAAGAGCAATAATGCAAACGAACAGGAGAGTTAAATGTGGACTCTTAAACATCAGATCTCTCTCTTCTAAAGGTGTACTAGTAAATGAACTAATATCAGATTATGATATTGATTTATTTGGTCTTACTGAAACCTGGCTGGGTGATGGAGAATATGTTAGCCTAAATGAATCCACCCCTCCCAGTCATATTAATACTCACATTCCTCGAGGCCGAGGAGGTGGAGTTGCAGCTATCTTCGACTCTAGCCTACTAATCAGCTCTAAACCTAAACCAAACTATAACTAATTTGAAAGTCTTGTTCTTAGTCTTTCGCACCCAAGTTGGAAGTCACTGCAACCAATTCTCTTCGTTATAGTGTACCGAGCACCTGGCCCGTACTCTGAATTCTTATCTGAATTTGCAGAGTTTTTGTCAACTTTAGTCCTTAAAACGGACAAAGTTATTATTGTAGGGGATTTTAATATTCATGTGGACGTTGAGAATGACAGCTTTAGTACTGCATTTATCTCACTGGTAGATTCCATTGGCTTCTCTCAGAGTGTTCATGAACTGACTCACTGTTTTAACCACACCCTCGACCTTGTTTTGGTGTATGGTATTGAAATTGAACATTTAGTGGTGTTCCCACAGAATCCCTCTTTGTCCGACCACTGTTTGATAACTTTTGAGTTTGTATTGCTGAACTACTCGCCATTGGGCAAAAATTTCTATACAAGATGTCTGTCTGATAGTGCTGTAGCTAAATTTAAGGATGCGATTCCATCAGCTCTAAATTCATTATCAAGTCACAAAGTAACGGAGGACTCCTATGCTAATTTCAGTCCCTCCCAAATCGATCATCTTGTTGATAGTGCTGCAGGCTCGCTGTGAATGACACTCGACTCTGTAGCCCCTACATACTGAAACTCGCAAATTAAAGCAAATATCGCGGAAACTTGAGAGGAATTGGCGTTCCACCAAAGTGGAAAATTCTCGTTTAATTTGGCAAGATAGTCTTAAAACTTATAGGAAGGCCCTCCGTAATGCTAGAGCAGCGTACTACTCGTCATTAATAGAGTAAAATAGGAACGACCCCAGGTTTCTTTTCAGCACTGTAGCCAGGCTGACAGAGAGTCTCAGCTCTATTGAGCCAAGTATTCCCATAGCTCTCAGTAGTTATGACTTCATGAGCTTCTTTAATGATAAAATTCTAGCTATTAGAGACAAAATTCACCAAGACCTGCCCTCAACTGGCACCGAATTATCTCTAAACTCAGGAACCTTAGAAACAGCTGTAGAACCAGATACATGTTTAGACTGTTTTGCTTCCCTCAATCTTTACCAACTAAATTCAATAATTTCTTCATCTAAAACATCAACCTGCCTCTTAGACCCCATCCTGACTAGGCTGCTTAAAGATGTTTTACCCTTAGTCAGCACCTCTATACTAGATATGATCAATCTATCTTTATCAACAGGCTATGTACCACAGTACTTTAAAGTAGCTGTAATTAAACCTCTTCTGAAAAAGCCAAAACTTGATCTGGATGTTTTAGCCAACTATTGACCTATATCTAAGATCCTGGAGAAAGCAGTTGCTAAACAGCTGTGTGACTTTCTACAGAGCAATAGTTTATTTGAGGATTTTCAGTCAGGATTTAGAGCTCATCATAGCACAGAGACAGCACTGGTGAAAATTACTAACGACCTCCTTATTGCATCAGACAAAGGACTTGTCTCAGTACTGGTTTTATTAGATCTTAGTGCATTACTGCATTTGATACCATTGACCATCAGATCCTATTGCAGAGACTGGAATATTTCATTGGCATTAAAGGAACCCCTTTAAGCTGGTTTAAGTCCTATTTATCAGATCGATTTCAGTTTGTACATGTTAACGATGAGTCCTCCATGCACGCCAAAGTTAGTCATGGAGTTCCTCAAGGATCTGTCCTCGGACCAATCCTCTTCACTTTATATATGCTTCCTTTAGGCAATATTATCAGGAAATATTCCATAAGCTTTCATTGTTATGCAGATGATACTCAGTTATATCTATCGATCAAACCAGATGAAACTCATCAGTTAAAAAACTGAAGTTATTGTTCTGGGGCCTAAGCACCTCCGTGACGCATTATCTAAAGATATAGTTTCCCTTGATGGCATCGCCCTGGCCTCCAGCACCACTGTGAGGAATCTTGGAGTTATCTTTGATCAGGACATGTCGTTTAAGTCTCACATTAAGCAAATTTCAAGGACCGCCTTTTTTCACCTACGTAACATTGCGAAAATCAGGAACATCCTGTCTAAAAATGATGCAGAAAAACTAGTCCATGCATTTGTTACTTCTAGGCTGGATTACTGCAATTCCTTATTATCAGGCTGCTCGAAAAAGTCCGTTAAGACTCTTCAGCTGATCCAGAATGCTGCAGCACGTGTTCTGACAGGAACCAGGAAAAGAGATCATATTTCTCCTGTTTTAGCTTCTTTGCATTGGCTTCCAGTAAAATCCAGAATAGAATTTAAAATCATTCTTCTTACCTACAAAGCTCTTAATGGTCAGGCACCATCTTATCTTAAAGAGCTCATTGTACCTTACTACCCCACCAGAGCACTGCGCTCCCAGAATGCAGGGTTACTTGTGGTTCCTAGAGTCTCCAAAAGTAGACTAGGAGCCAGAGCGTTCAGCTATCAAGCTCCTCTCCTGTGGAACCAGGTTCCAGTTTGGGTTCAGGAGGCAGACACCATCTCCACATTTAAGAGTAGGCTTAAGACTTTCCTCTTTGATAAAGCTTATAGTTAGGGCCGGCTCAGGTGAGTCCTGAACCATCCCTTAGTTATGCTGCTATAGGCCTAGACTGCCGGGGGATTTCCCATGATGCACTGAGCTCCTCTCTCCTCTACTTTCTCTCCCTCTGTATGCAACCTCATCCCATTATTGCATGTTACTAACACAACTTCTCCCCTTTCTGGTAGTCTTGTGCTTTCTCGTCCCTCTCCTCTCTCCTCCTATCACTTTCTGCAGGTTTTCTGGCTCTGGAGCTGTGGAGTCTGGATCTGTGGTTGCGGGTCACCTGCTGCCCCCGTGTTCCTGCTCGACACCCTCTGCTGCAACGACTATTGTTACTAGTCCTATTGTTATTATTGTTATTATAATCATTAACATTACGACTGTTATCATTAACACTACTATAAATATCTGTACCATTTTTCATTTAGTCTATAGCAACATCACCTTTACTGTCTGTACCTCTGTGTGTATATTGTGTAGGCTGCCTCCCTCTCCTCTCTCTCTCCTTCCATCCCTCTCTTTTTCTCTCTGTTCCTCTCCTGCCCTCTCTCTCTCTCTCTCTCTCTCGCTCGCTCTCTCTCTCCTTCACCCCAACTGGTCGAGGCAGTTGGCCGCCCACCCTGAGCCATGGTTCTGCACGAGGTTTCTGCCTCTTAAAAGGAAGTTTTTCCTTGCCTCTGTCGCCTAGTGCTTGCTCTTGGTGGGAACTGTTGGGTTTCTGTAAATAGCATCATAGAGTACGGTCTAGACCTGCTCTTTTATGAAAAGCGCTGTGAGATAACTGTTGTTGTGATTTGGCGCTATATAAATAAAATTGAATTGAATTGAATTGAAATTAAATTAGGCTGGCCACAATAAAAGGCCACTTAAAAATGCGCAGTTCCATCACACAGCACAATGCCACAGATGTTGCAAGTTTTGAGGGAGCGTGCGATTGGCATGCTGACTGCAGGAATGTCCACCAGAGCTGTTGCCTGTGAATTGAATGTTCATTTCTCTACCATAAGCTGTCTCCAAAGGGGTTTCAGAGAATTTGCATCAAACTGGGATCACAACCGCAGACCACGTGTAACCACACCAGCCAAGGACCTCCACATCCAGCATCTTCACCTCCAAGATTGTCTGAGACCAGCCACATGGACAGCTGCTGCAACAATCGGTTTGCATAACCAAGAATTTCTGCACAAACTGTCAGGAACCGTCTCAGGGAAGCTCATCTGCATGCTCATCGTCTTCATTGGGGTCTCGACCTGACGACAACTTCGCACAGCCATTGAAGAGGAGTGGGCCAATGTTCCATAGGCCACAATCAACAAGCTGATCAACTCTATGCGAAGGAGATGTGTTGCACTGCGTGAGGCAAATGGTGGTCACACCAGATACTGACTGGTTTCCAGACCCCCCCAGACTCTTTTTTCGAGTGGCCTTTTATTGTGGCCAGCCTAAGGCACACATGTACAATCCCCATGCTGTCCAATCAGCATCTTGATATGCCACACCTGTGAGGTGGATGGATTATCTCGGCAAAGGAGAAGTGCTCACTAACACAGCCTTTTGTGTACATAGCGAAAGTCTTAGATCTTTGAGGTCAGCTCATGATGAATGGGGGCAAAAACAAAAGTGTTGCGACATTACTTCAGTCAGCCATGCCAAGATGTGTGAAGCAATAAAGAATGCCCAGAAGCCTTACTGCATTATATTTTTATATTGTGAATTGTCAAATATTATTATTATTGTTGTTGTTGTTGTTGTTGTTATTTATTAATTTATTATAGACTATAAATGTAGCTCAGTGACTTACCGGAGGAAAAGAGCTAGTTCCTCATTCGTTTCTCATTTGTTCCCTGGTAACGTTAACTATTCAAATGTTGAGCAATTTTTATAAAATTGTAACTAATAGAGACGAAATCTCTGATTACATTGTGAATGAGTAGCAGATATTGGATGGAATTATATGATTTTACCTTTAACGTAATATTACAATAAGTTACGACAGTTTTAATTTCTTGACTTCGGTGTAACTTTCAGAAAAGTGAAGAAATTAAAACCAGTGTCCACTCAGATCATCTTGCTTTACCTACCCCACTTACGTTGTATCTTTTATTTTGAAGGTTTGACCGGAACAGAACGTCTATGATCCCGGCTAGCTTGGCACGGCTGTTGCAGATGAGCTTAGTGGTTTGAGGAATAGTTGGTTAACTAGAAGCTGACGGGCTATCTGTGAAAGTAACGTTTTGCGTGTGTAGTAGAAGTCTTCTTAATTACGTCAATTACGCCGAATAAGACCGATTATCTAAACCGAGAGAGAGAAGAAAAGGTTGTACATTTGAAAAGCATTGTAACTTAAAGTCACGGCGGAACAAAAAGTCGAGTCGAGCAGTGGACCCCGGTGAACACCGGTGTCATTTATAAGTTAATTCAATACCGCCGAACCTGGGGATTGTTTTTCCAGTAAGCTAGCTAGTTGTGTTTGAGTAAAAGCTGCATGCTTTGTTGCGTTTTCTAGACTGACTTCAAAGCGGCATCCTGGAAAGAAGAATTCAATGTGTCCTCTGAAATTTCATGGTAAGTCTGCTGCAGCGAAGCCCAAGTGCTATTCTTTGCAAAGCTGTTACACCACGCCAAACTCCACTTAGAAATCTTTCATTTAGACTGACCTCATGTGCCTCATAGAACAGGAGGGTAAACCGTATGGGAATAGATACGAAGTACTCTTCAAATCAGCAAACATGTAACGTTAAACCTCCGATTTGAATCAAAGTTCTACTTTTGGAAATGCTTCTCAGAGTGAGCACACTCTTACGGCTGGAAGCAGTGACCAAGTAAACATACACATGCTGTGGAGATTAGAATTGCTTGGTACGTACGCCGAATTATCAGGTTGTCTCTCTGACTCTAAAAATCACTTGTACCATTAATAATCGACATGTAACATTTGGTATCAACAAGCTGATCTTAAATAGATTTTAAAACGGAAGTAGCATAACGTTAGCTGTTTGACACGGAAGTTACCATAAAGTATCATATACGGAGATTATTGTTTTCCAGACAGAGGAGACACTAGGATTCCTTATTTCAACATGGATTGATTTTATAAATGCTCTAAGGGGAAACTTAGGAGTGTCTAAGTGTTTAGGACACTTCAGGCCAGTGCGGGAAACTAATCAGTTCGGCCTCTAAACTGCTAGAAATGGAACCTTTTAAACGCTGCTGCCATTACAATGGCATCACCAGTGGTTGGCAGAGGACAGGAAACCATTACGCATGTAAAAGTAAAAATTATCATTTGACAAACTGACTCGAGTCAAAGCTACTTTGTGTTTTTAATATTCTTTTGTGTGTGGGGCCAAGTCATTTAATACAAGTCAGAGTTAAGTATTTCAGATAGAGCCCAAGTCTCAAGTCTTTGCTCGGGAGTCTGAACCCAGTCTTGAGTCTTCTTTTGGAATAATAAATGTTTGCTGTGCATCAGGTCAGAAACAGCCACTGTGCGACACAGGTATTTCTTGGGAATGCACTTTGCTATGCATGTTTTCCCTAATTTAGCTCTTTGTGCTTATTATAATTATTAGACTTATTTTTTTGCTCTATATGAAGGTATCAATGTGATCACTGTACTAGCTGCCTAGCCTGCTATTGTTGCCTTTATCTGTTCTCATCTTGAGATGGACATGTAGCCAACCAAACCACCTGCTCTGATATCAAGGGAGCTGCACAAGATCTTCCTTCTCCAATAGCTCAGGCACCTAATACAAAATGATTTTTCCTAAAGCTTGCCCTCTCTCTCTCTCGCCCTCTCTCTCAATTCAATTCAAATTAGCTTTATTGGCATGAATGTAATAACAACATTGCCAAAGCATCATATATACAACATAAGAACAATCAGCCTCATACATTCACATACATTCTCTCTCTCTCTCTCTCCCTCTCTCTCTCCCTCTCTCTCTCACCCCCAACCGGTCGAGGCAGATGGCCGCCCACCCTGAGCCATGGTTCTGCTCGAGGTTTCTGCCTCTTAAAAGGAAGTTTTTCCTTGCCTCTGTCGCCTAGTGCTTGCTCTTGGTGGGAACTGTTGGGCTTCTGTAAATAGCATCATAGAGTACGGTCTAGACCTGCTCTTTTATGAAAAGCGCTATAAGTAAAATTGAATTGAATTTACAATGTGAAGAATTGTTCTGGCAATAACACAGGAGCAGCTGGTTGAATGCAGTAGGGGTAGCCCACATACAGAGGGAGATCTGTGTCTCACATAAAACCCAAGAGGTCTGTTTTATCCACATATATCTGCTTTCTCCCTCCTTCTCAAAAATGATTGTTTCCTGAATAACCATTTTAGGTTTTCTTTAATACACCGATAATGGAAAGTAAAGTATTTCTGCAGCTTGTGATAGGGCAGTGCAGGCTGATTTCCAACACTAGTGTTCACTTACTGGATTTGGGTTACATTAGTAGAACAACCAAAGTTTAAATAGAAAAGGTATTTGCCTGATTTTCTAAATGTTTGCATCTGCCCAGCTCATTCATTCATTTCGGGTAATGCAGCAAAATGCACAGTAGAAAACAGACTAGTTGTGAGGAAGGAAAAATGCAAATGTAGCGAAGTTAAAAGTAGATTACTGTTCCAAACAATACTCGAGTAACGAGTAAAAGTACAGTTGATGTGAAAAGTTACTGTTACCTTTTATATCATTTGCGCTACTTCCCACCCCTGGGAAGACAGTGGGATTTGACTCAATATTGAAATTCTTCTTGAATGTGGACTAGATATTCTAAATATGCGTGTTGCCCGGTTAGAAATAATTTTAGTGTTGTTTTTTTAGTTAGTTTTATTATAATAATAATTTATGGATTCCTGCTCTATTCTCTTGTCCTGCCACAGTTCGACATACTTGTCCTTTTGGGAGGTCAGCTACAGAACAGCACCTTTGAAAATTGTTGTTTACACTTTAAGAATGTCCAGAGTATGGTGGTTAACTTTAAAAACGCATTTTTTTTTCTCTGTTTTGATTGTTGAACAACAATGACTTGAGCTTGATGGTCAGAGCCTGTGTGGTATTAATATAAAGAAGACTTTCTGTTTGTCTCTACTTTCTGCGTATGCGAGGGCCTGCTAAGGTCCGCATGACAAAAAAAATCGTCATCAGAGTGTAGGCTCTGTGCAGATGTCCGCGTGCCTCCCATTTTTTATGACCGTCATAAAAAACGGCCGACTATGCTACCAGGGCACCAACCTATCTACTGTGCATGTGTGGAACGAGTCCACCAAGCAAATAGTATAAACAGAAGTAATCTGCGTCTGCTCCAGAGTATATTTGAGCCTTAACACTCTCTGGGATCACGATTTAGGGCACAAATACACACATTAACTTTAGCACCTGATAAAGTGCAGCTCACAGTCCCAAACAGAGCAAGGTTGCACCTCAGTTTTTAGATGTTTATATTGCGAAACTCTACCAGCTACAGTACCACTGCTACTGTCACACACTGCCAGTCACAGCGCGAGAGGGGGTGCGCTTGATTACTATCACGGCATACGCTGTGGAGATGATTCCCTCATTGAGTCGACGTTATCAGTTAAACATTTGCTTTTCCCCTTGTCACGGTTTACTGGCACGAGATCTTGTCACACTCCTGTTGACAAGGATTAACAAATCAGAGAGAAAAGTAGAATACAAATAAAATAATCCTAAACCCTTAAGATAAATACTGAATTTCCATGGACATGAGTTTATTTGATTGTCTTGCAGCCCCGGCATTTGTGCCCTCAAAAAAGGCTAAGTATGCTAAAATGATGAAATTCCAGGCCTGGTCAGAACCCAGGATTAAACCTGAAGTTACCCAACTAACCCCAACCTCGTAGTACAGGCGTCAGGGCTTTGAAGGATAGCCCCTTTTGTTAATGTGTCCCTGCTCTGTGAAAATGGCTCTGACTGATAACTGCAAATCAGACCAGTATGAACACTGATCACAATGGCAGTACTGGCTGTCTGCTCCTGGTGGGGCTCAATGGGGACTAAACAGGGCCCAGAGACCAGTATTGGAAACAGATGTTTGGGCGTTGATATGTTGGTGGGTTCCAGTGAGCTGTAAAATGGGGGTATAGAATAGTTTCTGACAAAACAGAATGATTCGGTGAGAAAATTATTTTGAATAATGACTCTTATTAGCTCTTAACGCTTATTAGAGTTGCATGGTAGTAATGTAGCTTTAATTAAAGGGGCATGGAGCAGTGTAAGACTTAAATAACCTCTGTCTCAAGCAAATTTTCATAACTATTTAAATGAAGTACTAATTGTATGGAAATGAAAAGGTTAATAGTGTCAGTTATTGCATGGAGCCCTGTTTGGCTCTCTCTCAGCTTGGTCATGGATGTAGAAAGGCCGGTGAAATTTAAAATTAAATTTAGTTTGCTTGTTTGTTTTTTGTCTCACAGTATATAATATGTATCATTTATTTATCAGCATAATTTATTTTACCCTCCCCCTTGCACACACTCCTCCACGTATATACATGGCACACTTACACAACACACTTTCAAACATGCATGCAAACACATACAATGTACAAGGTAAAGAACCTCCTCCATGTCTTTGTAGTGCGTGATTGACCCATGTGGTCTCTTTAAAAATTAGGACTTGTCTAACCTGTTAGTTCTGTCCTCTCAGAAAGCCCCATCATGCAGCTTGTGTCTACACTCTGCTGATGTGTGGGGAAGATGTTGTTTGAGCAGCTGAATGAATCTTAGAGTATGAACGTACCTTTTCTGTGCAGGTTTCCTTATGATGGTATGAGGATGGGACAAGGTGGTGTTGCAAGTGACTGCAGCCCTGGAGGCTGATGAACCTGGTCTCCATTGGCCAGTCAGGATGCACATAGCTTCAGTGGGTGTCAGCAAGTTCTGCTTCCTGTTTTCCCTCGCATTGTGTGGCCTCCTGCTTCTGTTCATCCCTGCCCTGCAGCCCCCAGCACGCCAGGTGGATCTGCCTCAGCCCCGATCCCAAGTCAGACCTGCACGTGCAAGCCCATCACAGCATGCCGGGGCTCCAGCGGTGTCTGTCCATGGTGGGGCCATTGACTCCGCTGCAGGGCTGAATAGGAGCTCAGCACGACAGGGGGGATCCATTGAGACTGAAGTTAGCAGGAATGATAACAATAGTCCCAAGAGGGTGATGGACTCCAAAAGAGGAGCTCTTCCTGGAGGAAAGGGCGGTGGACTCTCAGCTTCTAGGTCTCGGGACCTGTTGCAGTTAAAGGACATTTTTATTGCAGTGAAGACTACCAGGAAGTACCACAAGTCCAGACTGGAGCTGCTGATTCAGACCTGGGTTTCCCAAGCTAAAGAACAGGTGAGGAGAGCTGCAGTAATTGGTTTGATGAAAAATGGCCGTCTGCAGACGCTGTTCTGCTGAATTGTCTCCTAGCACATCCACTCCTGCTTAAAAAAAGGCAACAAACGGTCTGACCTGCTTTTAGTGTTTCTGTCACTCGTTTGTGAGAAGGCGATTAAGCTAGCCGCACTTACATTTGGAGGGCGAGCTGACAGGTTAGCGACTTTATCCTATCAGTTTCTCTCTTTACAAAGACAAGTGTTGCAGAATGAGAGTCCTGCCTGAAGAGAGGCTGTGAAGTCTTCCTGCTACGCGATAAGAGAACCACATACAACATTCTTTATCAAATTGGGTCAGACTTGATGAATTTAGCGCGAGGATACATGTGACAACTTCCGGTTTTCAAAATAAGGCGTCTATACAGGATGGAAATAAGATTAAATGGATAATATTCACAGATGTCCATTAAAAGTAATTTACTTATTTACATGTAATTTACATGGTCCTTCAGGACCCTCTTGGGCCTCGGACCCACCCCCTATAGTCTCTCCAAAAATTCATTTCGGTGCATCCCTAACTTGAACGCTTGATCATTGTTAACATACAACAGTTATAGATAGTGAATCAAATACTGTAGTACTGAAATGATTAGTTGATTGACAGAAAATAGCAAACAATTGTAATAAATTAAATAATTTATGTGAGTCATCTACAAAATACCCAAATCAGGGGGTTCAATTTCTCAAATGTGTTGCTTTTATCTATTAATCTGCTTCGAACAATGCCTGCACTCACAAGGACGATAAACAGAAAATGTCTGCGGGCGCATGCAGGCAGCCTGTCAGTGTGGCTGCTGTAGAAAGATGTTCGCGCTCCCCTCGTGAGTTTTGGGAAGGTGGTGAAAAATGATGTAAATCTAATCTAAAACCATTACTGGCTAGCCTTAAATATGTAGTGTTATATTGTAGAGAATACAGAAGCTGAATGACGTCACTTCTGACAGAGTGTCCCCCACTCTCCATTAAACACCAGTCACGTTCTGAAAGCTACAGCAGAACCCAATATATTTTTCTATTTCATTAATGAACACAAACTCCATCTAAAACAACATGTTACTGGCAAAGATAACCATGTACTGTATATTAGATTGTACCCTGCATGGAATAATGGAATTATGTCTTTTCTTTGTTTTGATATCTGCGTTACATCAGCCTCCGTGCTCTTTAAATATAGGCATTGTCATTAAAAACCCATATCTGTCGAAAACTAAACTCCATAAGGAGACTCCATACTTCCTATGGAGGTAAATCAATGTTGCTCTCATTATAATTGCACTGACTGAATCTCAAATATGTATTACAATACACAAAACATGATCTACTAATAGATTTGACATCCACAAACTCTCCATGATCCACAAATATAAAACACGATCCACAAATAGATTCCAAATCCAAAAACAAACTCTCCGTGATCTCATATAAAACAGTTGATTTGTGAATGAGTTTGCATTTGTCAAGTGTCAAATCAATTTAACCGAATAACCTCTAAGTTAATTGACTGAAAACAATGATGGAAAAAATCTGAAGGCTGCAACACTGTCAATAACCATGTGGAGGCCACCTGTAGTAGACCCCCTATTCAGTTGGTGGTAGTGTGCATATTCATCAGCTGTTGTCTTGGATCTCGCATGCATGACCTCGTTGTCTGGCTGGCTTTAGCCATCGCATTGGTAGGCTGTATCACTACATAGCGTAACTAAAATGTCACGGCAGTTGCGCAATTCTTTAGAAAGCCTAATAATTTTAACATTTATCAGCCAGCAACCAATGTTACGAGGAAGCAAGAGGCAGCAAGGAGGTAAAAATCATTCGTCGTCGTGTGGTGACGAGTAAAAGTATCTCTGTTCATATCTTCTCTCCGCATTCTTATAAATAAATCATCTCAAGATCTATAAATTAAATGGTATTGTGATCGAGTTGTTGTTAAAAATTGTTTTTAAAAATGCCGTCTGTGTGTCTCATTAAATATTTAAATTAAAGTTATGGGTAACAATAGATTATGACAGAATTTTTACAACCCTGTCTGTCAAAATGATTGACAACGACAAAGTCGAATGCAGCCTCTGCTGCGAGGGGTGTGGTGCATGAGCTAGAAGTCCTCCTACAATAATTCACGAGTTGTGATCATGAAAGCTATCGGCTGCAAAATGGCAGCACGTCTTAACATTTAGAGCACATCTTTACATAAATAAACTCTCAAGTAAACACTGCAGCATGTACTGACTCCTGTGCTGACAGAGTGAGGCGAGATGCAGGAAGCGGCGTGGCTTCAGAACCATGTGGAGTTCACCAGTTTACATTTGGTTTTAGGCTTATGCAGTGATGTTGGTGCTTATGGATTTGAGTCTTGCCTGCGCACACCCTGTCTGTTGTTCGGGTGCTTTTTAGGGTGTTGCCTTATCACCACCAGAGATTCCTCGCTCATGTGGTTAGTTTGTCCTCGCTGACATTTAGTGGAACCACAAGACATTTATAAGAAAATAAATCTTGACTTCACCCTTCATCTGTTCTGTGTCAAAATCCCCTGTGTGAGACCAAGTTGTGTATCGAGGTCACTGTGAAATTCTACAGTTTCACTGTTTCTGCTGTATGTTATTCTTCGCTTTGGGTAAGACTGCTTTAAGAATACTTAAAAGTAGGGATGGGTATCGTTAAGATTTTAACGGTATTACTGCTACACCTTATATGCCCCATACTTTAACTGTATTCCTATTGTTTCTTTTTGTTAGAAAAAACAAAACAAATTAAGAACAGAATTAACATTGCTTTATTTTGTAAAATGTAAAATAAATAACAATTATTTACAGCAAAAGAAATGGCAACGTTTTGAACAAATCACTATTGTGGTGATGGAAATGTAAAACAAACTAAATAAACAATTATTTACTGCAAAAGAACCACAATGTTCAGCCAACATTGACAAGAAGTCTTAACTGTGCTCAGAAGAATAAAAAGGTTGTTCAGGTTGAAGTTGGGAGGAACTATGCTAAGATTTGCGTTGGGTCAGTAAAGTCCATGTACAACTAAAAATGGTAAAGTGTAATTTATCCTTACAGGTACAAGAAAACTTGGGGCCTGGTCACACTAGCATTTATAACGGCAACATTTCCCATTGAAATCATTTTGTTTCAATTCAGCAACAGTGTCATGGGGGGAATAAAGCCATGCTGGGCTTCATATAAAGTTCAAATTTGAACTTTTCACACTATTGCCCAATTGCAAATCATCTTGACAGTGCTGATTGTTGGAGAGAATTGAGAAAGCGTGCTGCTCTTCATCCACCTCATGCTGGAGAACTGAAGCATCTCAGCTTCTTGTTCCAGCAAGAAGGCCTCGCATTGCAGATGGTCTCGCAGTTACTGCAGGTACTGCAGGTACTGCAACACTGGCTCTCTTGGCCATGCAGGTGAGAAATCATTTTTTAAGATTTGGCATTATTAAGTACTAAATGGTGGAAAATGTTGACACATACATACAATTAAATATTTTATAATTACAAAATTGTATTTAATATTGTCATAGCTCAACATATACCATATGTGTTTTTTTTGGCGCTCACGTTTTCCTTCATTTTTAACAAACCCAGGCCCAAGGCTACACCAGTTCATGGATGAAGTTGGGGCTGTCCAGATCAGCAGGACCAATGTTGATGACTACACCTTCAACACCCTCAAGCTTCACCTCACCAACAGCTTCTGTGATAATGAGTCAGAGCATTGAAAGAGTCTGGGGACCAGTATTCTGAAGGCAACCTCCACTCTTTGATCTGTCCAACTGGCCAGAAGACACCACTGATCTGGCACCATTTGGCTCCCCTGAGCTGAATGCCTTCAAGGAACGTTTCCGTATAGTACTTGAGACATGTGAGGACTTAGAATCCGTGGAAGCAGTTAAGCTGATGATACACAGGACAACTTTTTGAGCAATGTTGCTGAAGGCAAGTCTGACTATGTTTTGAACAGATAGCGGCGGTGCAGGGCGGGTGGTGGGGGGGAAGGGGATTATGGTAGTAATCTTTACTCATTACCACTGATGGCAACGTTGCCCAGCACGATTGCTCTAATAGTTGCTCCGTGTATCATCAGCTTTAGGCGAGAGTTGCTTGACCTCAGGATTCTTGTTGCCCGTCACTACAGGCACCTCGATTTCCAGGTGCTGTGGCAGCGGTTGATTCGGGATGCCACTGGAATGGCCCGCCAGTTCCGGCACATGCCAGGTGGTAGCAGAGATCAGTGTCGTCTAGAGATGCAACAATTCTGTTTTTCCTGCCGATTCCGATTTAGCCGATTCCTGATTTTCTTTATTTCTGAAACTATAATTCACAGCATACAGAAACAGTTTTGTAACTTTTCTTTACTTGAAAATGATCTTTCTTAGGATCCCCATCCCCAACATTGGCTTTTCTGACTGGGGTCCATTCAACATTATAAAACACTCTCAATCTAAAAATGCTCCTGGTTAGGCTCCTGGACAGAGCTTTTAGTACGAATAAAATCTAACTGAAAATAAACAGCAGTAGGCTGTAACAAAGCTCAGTGTTTCCCACAGAATGACCTAACTGTAGTGGCGGGGGCTATATTTGTATTTTTATTTAAAAATATTTGAAAGAATACATTACCCTTTGTTACTACTTATCTCACCAATTACTTAAGTGTTTACTCACAATCTACAGTAATCTGCTCACCTTGCAATCCCTTCAGACACACAGCTACACCTGTCTGCTCTGTTGACTTTATTTGTCAGCAGTTTTAGAAAGACAGCTGGGTTTAGCTGTTGACTTTAAGTTGTTAACCTGTGGTACTGAATGACATCGGCACCAACAGCTGTGTTCACTGTTGCTCTACCTGCTCGTGCTTTTAAAATATCCACTGTGTCCGCGTCTTCTAACGTAGCCTAACACAAGATAGTCTGTGTGTTTCTCTGCTGTCTCTTCTTCACTCTCAGTGAAGAACTTCCATGTGTGTGCGCACAGCCAGTTACTGTCTGGGCCGCTGTGCGCATGAAGGAAAACACCGTCCAGCGCAGCAGGTGTGCAAAGTTTAGTGTGACTGGCAGAACATCGGACATTTGACGCTGTCTGGCGCCAATCACCGGTCATGGCTTTTTAAGCTGAAAACCGGCCCATTCTGTTCCCCAGCCGGCCGATCGGTGCATCCCTAGTCTTGTCCTCCCCATGAGCTCTTGCTGTGAGGGTGGCTTCTCCAACATGAAGAGGATCAAGTCAGCACTCGTGCATTACTGTGCATTCAGACCAAATGCGAAGCGAGGTTTGGGGGTGGTGCCATTACATACAAAGTCAATGCAAAGACGTGGAGAGATGCGATTTCCTCTGGAGTGAGAAAACTTGCATGACACTGTGTCACAGTAGCCTATCAGCATTGAGCATTCCGGACGTCACTGATGCAAAGATCATTTTCCATTGTAAACTTTGTGCGACCAGCAAAAGGTTTTCGACCGCAAAAAGTTCTACATTTAATTTATTGAAGCAAAAAGTAATATAGTAACGTAACTAATTATTAATTATTAAAATGTTTACTTTGTTTCATACTGCTGTAGTAATCGCGGGTTATGTTTATTTGTATTTGTTTATTCCCTATGAAATTGTTTAAATTTTTGCCAGATTCTATTTTATTTTTGCCCAAATTCTGTCTTTCTGTATTTTATAATTTAAGCACATTTTGTCATTAAGAGTGTGTAATCATTTGGTGGATGAATAAAATGTCAACAATTCAATAAGAAAATATTCAATAAGAAAATAAACAAATTGACTCAATATCATGAATTTGATGTATCATGGAAATATGCATATAGAAATATTCAAATGTATGTGCAATTATTTAAGGGGACAATTCACCATAAATGTATTGTAACAGTAAGATATTAAAATACTATAAAACCTTTTAATAGGTGCAATTTCAAATGAAAGCATTGTTGCTATACATGGACTGTAAATTGTCCCCTGTCAAGTAGGTTTATTACAGTCTCCCTATGCTGCTGAACACACGGTATAAATGAGTCTGATGGAGGCTACTCTCGGCGCTCTTCCTTGTTTAGAAAGACTGACCGGACATAACTTTTTAACTTTTTCTAACTGAATATCTGACTCCGCCCCTTGTATCTTCCGATGTGATCTTCACTGCTGCCTCCTGGTCTAAACTAAAGCTACTGGTCATGGTTTTGGTCCACTAAGAAACTCGGTCAGATTTGTAGATATGAGAGCTGCTCCATCCCAAGTCTCTCCTAATCAGACCGGGCGTGAGTTGGGAGAACCTGTTAGAAATGTGAACAGGTTGGTGGTGAACTGTGGGCTCCTGCTTAGGGCTTTGCTTCCTTCAGACAGTCACCTAGCCCACCTGGCTTCCCGGCTGCTTGGGACCTGCATCTGGTCAGTCCACGGTTAATGGGGCCTGTCTAACTACAGCAGCTAATGATGTTATAGATTAACAAGGTTTCCATGGTGCGAAGCCACAGTTCCAATTCACTAAGCGCCCCCACCTCCTGCCCCGAAACATTTTTACATGTACCATTACCACTAAAGGATAACGATAAAGATATAACCAAGCTGCAACCTCCTTCAATCAACTGATCAGTTAACTGTTCACACTTTATTTTGAGCAGTTTGGGGGGTTGCATTGGAAACCAGTTTGTCTACTTCAGAAAGGGTTATTAACAAGTTATTAATATTCAGCCAACATGGCTTGGCCAGTTTTCAAGCTTAAAGGTTTTTACCACACAAAGTTAAATGTGAACAAAGAGAGCCTTTAGTATAAAGTACTCATAAGAACCTCATTAAGTATCCAGCACAGAAAGCAATTTAACCAGCTCTGTATGGAGCCCTATTAAAAGCAATTAGTAAGTCCCACTGCTGGACAAAAAGCCTCAGTGTGGAGAAAAGGAGGTTTAACTGCAGAAGTACTCTGCCCCACTTCACACAGAAATGTCACAGTCAGAGAGAAGGAAGGGCTTCCAGTTCATTTTGTGCTCCCGTTATCTACAGCTTTGGCTCATACCGGTTCAGTCCAGGCCTGCTGTGAAAGGGTTCCACTGTGAGTCTGTTCTATGTTAGCTGTCAACTGGAAGTAACCATTTATTATCGGAGACTGGAAGGCATTACGGGCCTGTTGCCGTTGTTTCACTGCTCTTAGGTCAGTAAAATCTGCCCCCTAGTGTTTACAGCTGCCTGTAAAATTAAAGAAGAAGAATCATGTCAAGTTAAAGAAGCCCTTTGACCCTCTCATTTTATGGTAGGTGAAGGTTAAAGCCTGCCTGCAGGGCTCTGAAGATGCTGAGCATGCCTGTCTCTGCCTGCTGATTTCAGTCTGACAAAGTGAAATCTAGATGGAATGAGTGGTCATTGATCAAACACATCAGTCAAAGCTTCACTGACCATAGCAGGTGAAGTTTGTGTCTTTTGTCTGTAAAATCTCTGGAGGATTCACAAGTTTAACTTGAATTTTATCTGTACAACAGGACCTACAGAGAAATGAAAAGGTTAACAGATGCATTTAGTTCATGTTATTTCTGTAAAACTCTGGACTGGATATGGTACTAGTTTCCACAACACACGGTTGGTGAAAATACACTCAGCTTAAGCATTAAGGGGTTGTGTGAAATGTGCTTTTCCTCTGCTTCACATTAACTTGAGCTGTGTCTGGCACTCTGCAACTGCACACGTGTCCTCATGAGCAAGAGAAAACAATGGAGCACTTAATTGTATCCAAGTTGGGGATCATGAATGTTTGTGTGTGTGTACTTGCATAAACAGTTTTTAACAGCATGTCTATCTGTTTCAGACCTACATATTCACTGATGGTGAGGACAAGGAGCTGCGGATGAGAACCGGTAAGAAGCTGGGCCGTCATAGGGGAAAAAAGATTCCTCATTCATGTTGTGTGGCCTTATGACCCAGCAAATCAGAATAATCAATACTCTGTTGTAAAGATGAGTAACAGAATACAGATAGGCATAAAGGTGTAAAGCACCAGAATAATTTCAACATTTTAGGTAAGCTTTCCAATTAAATTTAAGTTATCAGGTATATTTGGACCAACCTGAGACATCCATTATTTTTTTCCACTAAGCAGTTTTGAACTGTATCTAGTTACATAGATGCATAACAATTAAAAAAGGAGGATCAGCTGTTTGTCATCAGCATAACAATGATGAAAGGAATGATAGAGAACAGGATGGGACCAAGAGTCGACCTCTGTGGCACACCACATATTAAAGGAGCTGATGATGAAACATGATCACTTATAAAGAAACCAAACGTTCAGTTGGACAGATGAGATTTCGAGATGAAGCAATGAAGAAATTTATGAAAGCAAACTGTCAGGAATGCACCAGTCGAGCATGCTCATGCTACTGTGTGTGAATCATCTGCTACCAACATATGATTTCTACAGGGGCTGACACAGTACTGTAAGGGTATAGATCCTGGACATAGATGCATGTTGATCTGTGCTGTTGTCTCTTTCCCAGGAGCTGACATCATCAACACTAACTGCTCAGCAGCTCACACCCGACAGGCTCTGTGCTGCAAGATGTCTGTGGAGTACGACAAATTCATAGAGTCTCAGAAAAAGTGAGTGAAAAGTGAAACACACTGGTTAAACAGCAGGGACGTGAAAAACTATTAACTGTTAATTAACCAATTATTTCTCTGCTCTGTTTTATAAGAACAAATGCATTGTATAAAAACCTGAATGTCCAGTACTTTCAATTTTCATATAGTAGTAATGGCCATTACGTTGATATTAGGCATGCATCAAGAGGAGGATAAAATATGAAAATCGAACACATGTAACAAGTAAAACTGTTTTTTGAAAATACCTTAAAGAAATACCTAATGGCACAGAACACCAGCCCCTCTGCAAACAGGACATGTTATGTTGTATAAAATCTGACTGTGTGATCGTCAATTAGATCTTTCTTGGTTATGTTTCATTTTTTGTGTTTTTGTTTTTCTCAGTCACTGTGTATGCTGTTTTTAGTTTTCTTTTTTACATTTTATTATTATTTTGGAGCTCTACAAGTTTTTTTACTGACCATTTTGATGAGGATACTTTTTGTCATTGTTGTGATTATTGTCATTAGTTATTTAATTTATATTGATTCATTGTTTTGACATTATGATGTAATGTTTACTTACAACAGTTATTGATAAAATGACAAAACACGTTCACTTCAGAATGTAGGTGCTGACTGTCCGTGTGTGTTGTAGGTGGTTCTGCCATGTGGATGATGATAACTACGTGATCCTCCCCAGCCTGCTGCGGCTGCTCTCCTCCTACCACCACAGCCAGGATGTGTACCTGGGCCGACCCAGTCTGGATCATCCTATAGAGGCTGCAGAGAGGGTCAAGAGTGACGGATCGGTCAGCTTACATCTTAATCTATTCTGGCTCCTCTAACTGATAAATTTAGCAGTGCACAATGAAGCTAAATCCAGGCTTCAGAATGTTCCTTCAGAAAACTGGGTGATGTGTCAAAAGTTTTTTTTCTTTAGACTATTACACCCCTCACAGCTTGCTGATCTGTCTGTTTTGTCTCATTTCAGGTGTCTGTCAAGTTCTGGTTTGCCACAGGTGGAGCAGGTTTCTGTATCAGCAGAGGTCTGGCACTGAAAATGAGCCCATGGGCCAGGTAGGTCATGGACTCGCAAGGGGCCTCACGTATAAACGCTGCCTACGCACAAAAAGGTTACGTACGCTGGTTTTCACGCACACGTGGGATGTATAAAAATGAACGTGACGTGAGAATGTGCGCCAACTTTTGTCTGGCTCTGTCAGTGAACTCCAAAGTGCCAAAACTCACCAAATGTTTCAAATTAGCATTTCCACTCCTGTTACTGTTCATATGTCAATGAAGTAGTCAATCAAAAAATTATGTCCGTGAATACACAATAAAAGTTTGATCATGTATGTAGTGGTTTAATATAGAAATAAAATTAAATGCGAGAGGAATAGATTATGACGGCTCTCACATATTTATTTTTGCTTCATATCACATGTTATCACTTCAACATTTAAACATTCAAACCAGCAGTGTTATTTGTGCTGCCACTAGTGAGCCATAACCTCTTAACCACCTTTCAATTGTAAAAAAAAAAAAAGAGGGCCAGAGTGTAGCCACGGACACTTATGGTCAGCTGTGAACCAGCCTAAAGCTAGGACATTGTCAGGTGGCAGATTTGAATTATTTTCAGCTGACACTTGTATATATTTCTTTCCTCTCTGGCAATAGTTTGTAGTCCTACATAGTTCAAAACACATATTTGATTAATCCAAACATGCTGTTCTTTTTTTACTTTTTCGTTTTTTTCTGGTTCAGTCTGTGTGGCTACAAATTAAATACAGGAAAAAATTATCTGACTTGTTACTTCCTAAAAAAACCCCCAAAAAAGCCCACAAATCCTTAGTATGTACCTGTTGTACCTGAAGTAAGATTACTAGCTAGGTTTCCATCTGAATGTAGAAAAACGGCAAAGACAATGCAAATGAATGTGTGTACCCATCCACCACTGTTATGTGATTATCATTATCAGGCATGTGGTTATTCATGTTAGGAGTTGGCTTGTTGAGATGAACAGCTAGTTGCACTAATTTTCCAGTCGGTACCATTAAACCATTGCAGAAGAAGAGGGCATAAAAGGGGTTTTGCGATACTTTCCGTTTCCACAGGTGCATGGGTACTCTACTGACTTAAGCAATGGCAGATATTTAATATTAATAAATAAAAAATATTAATTAATATTAATAAATATAAAAAATGTATATTTAAACAATAATAAATGTATACAAACCAATAATGTAAGCACTTAAACAAATATGTAAAAATGTCAGTGATTATTTTCCACTTGCTTGGGAGGGGAGTGCGTTTAGGAATGGCTGCTGTAAACAGCTGCTGTTGTGAAAGCACACTTGGCTATCGGCTGAGACTCTGTCCTCTGGTTTCAGTCTGGGAAATTTCATCAGCACAGCAGAGAAGATCCGACTACCGGACGACTGCACCATCGGCTACATCATCGAAGCTCTGCTGGAGGTGGCCCTAACACACACACACCTCTTCCATTCTCACCTGGAGAATCTACAGAAGCTGCCCACTGACACTGTACTGGAGCAGGTGAGTGGTGTGTGTTGTGTAAAGTATTAGTAAGCATTATAGGGGGTCTTAATGGACTCTCATCCATTAAAAAAAACATTTAGAGATTGAATACTTGCTACTGGCATGTTCATGTGAAAATGTCAATATAGTTTTATTGTTGTTGTGTGTTTTTTTTTCCTGAGCTCCTTTCGGCATTTGCTCTGTACACTGATGTTGAACTGTGTGTGTCCTGTGTTGGTTTTGCAACAGGTGACTCTTAGCTACGGAGGCTTTGAGAACAGAAGAAATGTGGTCAGTATTGTTGGAGGCTTTTCACTGGCTGAGGACCCCACAAGGTAAACATGTTAATAACAAAACCTTCTGCTCCTGCATGCACTGCACTCCCATGACTCTGTTCAACATTCAGTATCATATACGTTATCTGTGAGACTTTTAACTACTATAATGAGCCGTTTTCTTCAGGTGGTTAACCTGTTACCATGCATATTAAAATGCTTATCAGAACACTGCCATCATGTGTGCAAAGATGTTCATGATACTTTACAATCTCTTTAATTATGTTGTGTAGCATCTCGCTAGAAGTAGAGTGCAGTTTAATGCAGTGTACCCTACATGGCCAGTATGTGGACATCTGAAAGTTCCAGTCTTACGTGACAGTTGAACATGTGATTCCAAAATCATGAGCATAAATGTGCTGCTATAACAACCCCTGCTTTTCAGAGAAGACTTTCCACCAGATTTTAGAACTTGGGCGGAGGGATTTGCTCCATTACAGCCACAAGAGCATTGGTCAGTTCAGCCACTAATGAGGCCTGGCTGACAGTTGGCCTTCCAGCTCATTCCAAAGGTGTTGGATCAGGTTGTGATCAGGGCTCAGTGCAGGCCAGTCAAGTTTTTCCCCAACAAGCTGGGAAATATGTGCTGTATAATTGGACATAAAGCCTCATTTCCTCTGCATGGTACGGCTCAGCTCGACTGGACTTGCTTTTTGGTACCAAGTACTTTTCTTGATTTGGTTTTCCACTGCAGATAGTACCCCATCAATGTAGGCGGGATCCTTAGCTGCCACAGCTTTTGCCAATGGAAAACCAAAACATAACGGTTCCAAGCAAGTCGTGCCATAACATGCAGTAGAGACGAGGAATAAGAAGCCTAAACTGGACTAGGAAAAGAAAGACCCAGAGCAAAAGTACTCAAAGGCATGTGTCCACTTATTTTTGGCCATGTACTGTACTTGAAGTGTGGACATTAGACGGATCAGAATTGGTGACAAAAACTTGATTGGGACACCCATAACATCATACAGAACAAACATTGCAGAAAAGATGTAAGAGAAGTTGATTTGTCTCTGTCTGTCTTCTCTTCCCATCCTGCAGATTTAAGACAGTCCACTGCCTTCTGTATCCAGATACTGACTGGTGTCCAAAACTCAAACTTCACCACAAAAACTGAAAGCCACTGCGTTTATACCCTGATACCTGCTAAACCTTTATCCTACTGCCTCACGCTGCCATGTTTGGATCCAACTACGTTTAGCTGGAAATCCTTCCCACGTCTTTTGGTGGATGCCATCATCCAACGCAGCCTCACCTCATGCTTTGTGGATGCGCAGTGCTATGGGTTTTTTCTTACACCTCTCAGAGGCAGAACTGGTTTAGAGGCAAAATTGACCTAACTCATTAAGTAAATAATGGGTGGAGCCAAAGAATGACTAGCTAAGGGAACATAGAAGTGGCTGGAGCCACATTTTTCCCCACTATAAATTAGCTTTTGAGAGTGGATTGTTAACACTAACCTCAATGTTCCTCAACAGAAAAACACAACAGTCTCTCTCTCCTGAGCTGGGCTGACCTTGTGGGTGCATTCAATCGTTGTTGACCACTGTTTGAAATGAAAGACGGACTAAAAACGGACTAATTACTTGTGTTTTTGAATTAACATTAGCCTCGGACCGAGACCAGACAAAAAAAATGCATGGCAAAATATCAGCATACAGATGTTGCTACCAGGTTTGTTATAAAAAGACACTGTTTGTGTCTACGAAAAATAGCATCATAGCTAAGGTGGCACCACCGAGAGTTCCGCAGTGGTAAATACTGCACTGACCACTGTGAAACGCACAGCGTGAGACCCTTGTTTTCCTGCTGTATTAATCCTGCGGATTTAGTGGCGTCTAGCTGCAGATTGCAACCAACTGAATAGCCCTCGCCTCACCCTCCCCTTCCAAGCGTGTAGGAGAACCTACGGTAGTTGAGAAAAGAGTTTGGTTTGTTTGTTCTGCGCTACTGGAGAAACATAGTGGTGCAACATGGCCGACTTCGGACCTGCTCCCTCTGTACATGTGAAGTGATCATTCTAAGGTAATGAAAAACGTTAATCCCTAACTCAAACCCTAAATCTTACACACTGGTCTTTTCAAGGGCGTCAGCAACTGAATTTGACAAATAGAATTCTGGGAGGTCCATGTAGGTTTAATGCAAGTGTTTGGTCTCAACAACAAACGTACGTGGGACTACCAGGAGGACAAACACTTTGTCTTTGTTTCCATTTGACTAGAATTTAGTTTTGCTCCAAGCAAGGGCAGTGTTGCTGTGAAGGGATCATAGTCAGAATGGAGAGGGGGAATGATTACAGAATATTTTACATACATATGGGCACATATTACTGATGTATTTAGACAGACATGGACAGTAGAGGATTTCCTTCTTCCTGCCTGTTGTTTAATGAAGGAAAGATTAACCCGATTCCATGCCTCCATCCACTGTGGTGTAACTTTAGCAGTAGAGTAGCCGAATGGGTTAGGGTACTAGCCAAGCTACAGAAGTAACGTCAGAATTGGAAGCTATCATGTATGAATAAAAATAGTTCTGAACCTGCACTCTGCATGTCCATTTCTCCGCTTTATTCTTTTACTGACATGTTAACCTGAAGTCAATGTAAAATCCAGATAATTGCTTTAGAATGAAAGATTGTGGTGGTACTTTTAAAGAGTCTGATTTAAGATGTATTAGGAGTATCCTACTTTTTGGTCTCAAACGTGAAGTGAACTGATATGTCCAGAATTGAGATTATGTTTGTGCAAGAAAACTTCTGTGGAAGGTTTATATGCTGCATGTGCACACATGATCTGTTGTAATTCTTCTGATGTCTTCATATTCTCAGCCGAATACATTCTCCTTGTATTGGACTATTTATAATAAGCCCATCTTCATGGTTTTGCACTACTTTGATCTTGCCACATCCTACATTTTACTGGAGCTCTAAACAGTTGTGGTGTAAATATGAGTGAACTGTATTGTGTTCTTTCCTCATAGGCTGTTACACACCTTTAAGGCAGAGCTACTTTGGAGGTGGAGATGCATTTTGTTGTTGGAGTTAGACTTTAATGAATGGGGCCAAAGATATCTCTACAACATTGCCATGAAATTTGGTATGGATGTTCATGGTCCCCGGAGGAAGATTGCTGATGAGCCTTTTATTTTATTTTTTTGGCACTGCCATCACGTCAATATTTCCTGTTGACACAATTGAGTGAAAACATTTTAGATATGACCGTTCTTTTATTTTGAAATTGTAGCTGCAAGCGCAGTAAGTGTACTTGGTACTTTCTTTAAATTAGTTAGGATGCCTAGCTACCCTGAGTCTTAAAATATATATCATGTTCTTCTCACGATGAATTGTAATACTTTGATGTGTGATTGATATGATGCCTACACATTTAGTGACGTTCCCATCAGCCTCAGCTGTACTTTGTGTTTTGTGCTGATTTGTAAATGTTAGCATGCTAAAACACGAATATGCTTACCGTGGTAAATACCTGCTTTTAACATCAGCTGGTGAGCATGTTTGCTAGCTGTGTAACATTACATTGAAATCCAGACAAGTTATGTTAAGATGTTACAGAACAAATGCCTTATTAGTCACAACCATACTGCCAGTTAGTCTGCAGACCCACCGGATTATAATAGCTCATGGTGGGAAAGAAAGTCCTTGCAGACAACAATTTCCTAAATAGTAAGACCAGTGTTCTGTCTTTGGACTTACCGTTTGCCATTTTGCTGACTTGTGCTCGGATAAACTAGTTCTTTGGCTCCACCCACTCAGCTTCACCAACCAGTCAGTATTTCTGCCTGTAAAAAGTATTTATGTAATACACCCGTCTAAATCTTTGCACAACTACAATCCAAAATCCAGAGCATGTGGCCCACTGCAGGTCGGTGGGTGAGACTGAGTGAAAGATGTATATCTTTTACCACTGATGTATTATTGTGGTGTTTCAATAAATAATAATAATAAATAAAACCTTTCTGCATTATCCAGTGTTTCACTGTTTATTGTTGAATTGCTATCATATTGCAAAGTTGATGTATGCATCTGTTTTGTTTGGGTCATTGAACAGAACACTGTGTAACCGCACCAATGCTTTGGCAGTACTGCAGTTGTTGCAAAGTTAATGACATCATGTGTAATTGGAATGCAATGGCTGTCAGATTTATAGCAGCTTGTTCCACACCTCCTCCTGGGACATGGCTGTAATCAATTAAACCCTTGTTAGACAGGCAGATGCACTCACAGAGCTAAACATGGGAATACATGTGATTTAATGAAGACACTGCCAAGGAATGTGAGAAATTAACAATTATTGGGCCCTGCAACTTTAACAACAAACGTCAACACGCTCATTCACCTGCGAACAGTGAAGTACTGGGGAAAAACAGTGAATCAAAATCGGATTTCTTTTCGACTTACCTGTGAGAAAAGGTGGATGGATCAAATAAACACTTGGTAAAGCTGAGTACTCATCCATATACAATTAATAAAGCCACCTAAAATGGGATAAGAGGTTAGCAACAATGTATCCCAGATGAATTAACAGTGAAATACTGTCAGAAGTATTGAATCTACATTGATGTCTGACATCAAAACCAAATTAAAAGCTCTCCTCATTTTAATGTTGAAGAAATGTCAGATTTTCAGTCAGGACTGACACTGGATTAACACTGATTATCTAAACATTATGGAAACATCACTAACTGGCATTGGATGTGAATGGCCCAGGACCAGGGGGCTCTGCAGCGGGTGATTAAAACTGCTCAGAAGATCATTGGTACCCATCTCCCGAGCATCAGTGATATTGGTGAGGTGAGGTGCCTACGCAGAGCCCAAAGGATACTAAAGGACAGTACCCACCCAGCCACAGCCTGTTCACCCTGCTGCCTTCTGGGAAGAGATATAGAAGTTTCTGCTGTCACACCACCAGACTGTAGAGCAGCTTTTTCCCCACCAGGCTGAGACATTTATAAATCGGCTGCTTTTTGTAGCATGAAGGGAAATACAAACTAATTTTCAAACTAATTTTCTAATTTGCAAAGTGATCCACAAATACACCGTGGTCCACAAACCATTAGAAAAAAAACTGTGAAACAGTGGCTTGTCAACATTTTGAAAACGAAATCTAAATAGAATATGACCTGTGCACAGAGTCATTTTGCAGTCATTCAAATTCTGGTTTTCAAGTACAAGTCAGGTCTGTTTGTGGATCATAGTGAGTTTGTTTGTGGATTTGAAATCTATTTGTGGATCGTGGCTGTCAGACTGTGTGGATTTTTGAATGAGTGGCGACTTGACGACTTGCTTCCTTGCTCTGGTCCTCTCTGGTCCCGTGACTGTGACCCAAAAATCGTTCCCACTCTGGTAGCTCAGAGGATCTTACAATCACTAAATGCACCTCGAGGAGAAAGGATGCCTCTGTAAGAGCTTGGAGCGAGGAAACACAGGAGAAGTATTTTGTGAGTCTAAAGTATAGCCTAAACCCACCTCCACATGTGTAATAGAACACAGTTTAATGTCGAGATACAGTAAAATGCAAACATAGGCTACAAAATAGCAATTAATACTAGTTTAATTAATACTAACTTAATAGGGCTATAAGAGATGTTCATGTTTATGTATGAAAGTTTTGAAATTCTTGAATAAGGAGCTGTTTGGGGTTTGACAGGTGATACACCTGAGCAGCACAAGTAGGTGATGTTGCTTGGAAGCAAGGATTTATCAATTTGCAGCTTCTGCTCCTCCGTCGTCGCTTCTCTCTCTCACATCCTCGCTGGGAGGAAAGGAAGCGAGGAGACACATTAGGTAGCTTATAATGAAACACACAGGTCACGAGGAAACGTTATGAGTGAACTGACCCTTTAACATAGACAGCTGGCCGTTGTTACCTGTTCACAGTGATTGTGCAGAAGTGACCTGGAAGATAAACATGCTTTCACCAGTAACTTGGCGTTTCACCTTTGAACCCAGCGGAACACAGAGACACCGACAGCCTGCAGCCCGGACCGCCGCTCGGACGCACAGCTGGTAAGAAGACTACTTCCGCGTTATTGGAACCATAATGTAAAACAAGAGATGTGAATGATTAGTGTTAGGATGCAGGGAGATGCGTGGAAAAGTTAGGATCAGGAGAAAGACGAGGAAGTTTCAGCTCGATCAGTCCCGAGTCACGTGACGTGTTGTTGCTTATCAGTCTGCAGCTGATCCTGGACGGACCTGACCGAACATGGAGATTTCATTTGAGGGCAAACGAGCTCTGGTCACCGGAGCAGGAAAGGGTAAAGACAACACCCAACAAAAACACACACAAGACCTTTCCTGTCCGTAAACACAACGCTTTTTATGTGAGATTCAATTCAATTCAATTCAATTTTATTTATATAGCGCCAAATCACAACAACAGTTATCTCACAGCGCTTTTCATAAAAGAGCAGGTCTAGACCGTACTCTGTGATGATATTTACAGAAGCCCAACAGTTCCCACCAAGAGCAAGCACTAGGCGACAGAGGCAAGGAAAAACTTCCTTTTAAGAGGCAGAAACCTCGAGCAGAACCATGGCTCAGGGTGGGCGGCCATCTGCCTCGACCGGTTGGGGTGAGAGAGAGAGAGAGAGAGAAAGAGAGAGAGAAGAGAGTGAAAGAGAGAGAGAGAGAGAAAGAGAGAGAGAGAGAGAGAGAGGGATGTAAAGAGAGATGAGTTTTTACACAAGCAGCCTTTCACTGAAGAAGAAATAAAATACAGTCTGAAATTGGCAACGTTTTGATGAACTATCTGATCTGGGAAATGAAGTGATAAACCTATGAATTAAAACTCTGATGAAATAACGTGAGTTCAGAAGACAATGAGTGTTGTCATTCCAACATAGTGAGAAAATGGAATTCTCAAACACTTTGTTCCTTGAGTGCAGCGTTGCAAAGCCTGAGATGTGTGGAATGTGTGTGTGAGTGTGTGTGTGTCACAGCAGCCACGTTCTGTAATAAGGCTTTGTGTTTATGGATGCTTGTTGTGTCAGGGATTGGCAGGGCCACGGCTCTGGCTCTGGCACGCTGTGGGGCAGAGGTCACGGCGGTCACACGCACACAGGCCGACCTGAACAGTCTGGTGCAGGAGGTACCCCCCCACACACACACTGTCACCTATCTGAGGGGCCCCTGTCCCCGACCTCTGACCCCACTCTTTCTGGACAGACCACACACTGTTTAGGATTTTGCTCAAAAGTGATTTTGATAGTCACTTCCTGTGAGGATGTTTCTTAGTGATAAACACTGGAGTCCTGATTCTTTGCTAAATACTTATAGTATACAGTGTGTACTTCATACGGACTCATAGTCAGTTTACATAAAATCAAGAAAACAACAGATATACAGTTTCGTACTTTCATTCTGTTTATCTGCACAGTGTTCGTTGTAAAATGGATCAGAACTGGTTGTCTATCCATCTTTTAATATAAACTAAGCTCTTTTAGCCATTCCTGCTTTTTCCTTCATCTCCCTCTTCTTCTGCTATCTGCGCCGACATGTCTGGTGTTGTCTTCCTCACAGTGTGCATCCATCAACCCGGTGTGTGTGGACCTAGCGGATTGGGGGGCCACGGAGGCAGCCCTGCAGGAAGTCGGCCCCATTGACCTGCTGGTGAATAACGCTGCCTGTGCCAACCTGCAGCCGTTTCTGGAGGTCACCGCCGACCAGTTTGACCAGTAAGACCAAATACAAGATACTTTGCTGCAGAAGCAAATAGTTGTAGAATCCAGTCCACTGTAGAACATATGAGTCAGACTTTACAGTTTCATCATGTGGCCTGTTGTGTTCACTATACTCTAAAGTGTCTTTCATCTCCAGGTCATTCAATGTGAATGTGAAAGCTGTGCTGCATGTCTCCCAGGTACAATAATGGCTCTTTAAAAGTCAACATTAATGCTAAACTCAGGTTTTGGTGTCAGGGAAAGTATATACAACAGAACTGCTTCTGTTGAATCAAACAGAGCTTTCTCTCTGTGGTCAGATAGTTGCTCGTGGAATGAAGGCCAGAGGATCAGGCGGCTCCATTGTCAACGTTTCCAGCCAGGCCTCGCAGTGTGCCCTCAGGGACCACGCTGTCTACTGTGAGTAACAGAGGTACCACCATGTGCCAACATTCACCTGGCAGATTTCAGTTTTTGGATCTCTTAAAGCAAAAGCCAAAGAAACATTATGATGTGGTAGTACAGTTGCAGACAGGAAGCAATTAACCTGATAAACACTTGTTTGTGGCTCATTCCTTATCTCTCATTTCCTGTTAATTCTACATTGTTACATGTATTTCCTATTTTAATTAAATGAAAAAACATGTTAATGAAAAAATATTTTGATTTTTGCCTCTAATAACTAAATAAATATTTTTTATTGTGACATGAATTCTCCATGCCACATTAAAATCAAATTACAACACAGAAAACAAGTGAAGAGGCATATTGTGTTTCAGTGTTGCCCAGCAGAGAGCAGCATAGACCTGACCATAATAAATACAAAGCACTGGCGTTAGCTTTCATGAAAAGGGGAGGAGGGGGCTTTTTCTCTTTTGACATGGGGAAACATTGTCCATGCCGTAATGAAAAAACAATCAGCCATCCAGCCACAGCTTGGTGCATGACCATGCACCATGTGTAGAGTTGTTGGTTCAGTTATTTGTACATTTATATTGAAAGGGTTAGGGGCTGCACTGAGACTGCAAATGAACAGGGCCCAGGTTTTCATGCTACGGCCCCAGTGATGGTCAGGTTCTGTTGTTTCTATCCTTCGCTCTTTGTGTTCCTGTCATTGTTCAGGTGCCACTAAAGGAGCCCTGGACATGCTGACTAAAGTGATGGCTCTAGAGCTTGGACCCCACCAGGTACCCTCACACCGTCCCTTCATAATTTGGCTCATTAGATATGATGGAATGACCAGTAGCTTATTGTGTTAGGTAAAGTTAGCAAACCTTGGGTAAATATTGCTATAGAGTCAGTTCTGTAAATAAATCCTTTTAATTGTCTCTGCTGTTGAAGCATATTTAAACAAACGACAGATCTTAATGGTGCTGTTATTGATTGAATGTTAGAATTGTTTTAACTAAAGTGCCAGTGTTGTGTTCTGATCAGATCCGTGTGAACAGCGTGAACCCCACAGTGGTGATGACTGAGATGGGTCGCCTGGGCTGGAGTGACCCCATAAAAGCCAAGACCATGATTTCCCGCATACCCCTAGGTCGCTTTGCAGGTCAGACACTGCAGGCTGTATATACGTACTGCTGCCTTCATCACCTTTGGCTCTGTCCAAAGTTCAAAACCACACCAACCTATTACGGCTGAAGGATTTTGAAAAAATATCTCATTTTGATTATTTTGACTGATAATGCAATTGCAATATTAGATAATTATTCTCATTTTCATTGAATTTTCATTGATTTCCATAAGATTTCGATCAATTGTTCAGCCCTACTACCAATTAAATAAACAGATTCGTGTAATGTTGAGTCTCGCTAGCTGTTTCCCCCTGCTTCTTGTCATTATGCTAAGCTAGGCTGACCTTTTCCTGACTCCAGTTCTGTACTTAACACAGATTGGCATCCATCTTCTCATCTCTCCCCTACTTGAAACTGAGCTCCTGTAAATCTCATAAATCTCAAAAGACACCTGGAGGATGTGCTTGCACAATGGAGTTATTTTAGTGCCAGCACAAAAGGATGCTGAAAAAGAGGCCGATGGTTGATTAATATTCAGGAATGTGGATTCCATCCTGGTTGTGGAACAATGGAGCAGCTCTTCACCCTTGCATAGCCACTCTGAATGTGTTTTGTGGACTTGGATAGGGTTTGTTATGTCCTTTTATAACTGTAGCGAGAGCTGTGTTCACGTTCTCTGCAATTATGTTTAGCACGCTCTCAGTTAGTGTTGGACTCCACCAATTCTCACCAATTCTGGTCATAGTTTTCATCGACGGTCAAGATCCCGCTATGCAGATAAAAAGTGCAATCAGTTCCACATCTAATCTTATTACCAGCATGGGTATAAACCAAATATGTCCTTTGCTGCAGTTATTCAGTGTGTACACATCTGCACTTCATACATTTGTTAACTGATCTCCCTGTGTGTCTGCGTGCAGAGGTGGACGACGTGGTGAACAGTATTTTATTCCTGCTGAGTGATAAGAGTAGCATGACAAATGGAGTCACTCTGGCGGTGGACGGAGGTTTCCTGGCCTGCTGACCAACACGAGCCTCTTCTCAGGACACCGCCGTCTGCTCAGAAGAATAAGAACAAATCCTTCCTGTCTTATTACCTCACTTAATTATACAGATAGAGGTCAGTTGTATTCAGTAAATAAACTAAACCACTGCACAACCAACCTTACTTTTGTTATTTGTGCTTATTTAATATTTCTGTAAATGGCCAACAGCCCAGGGTTCATTTGCTTCAATCACTTATATCACTCTGCCTATCTTTTTTTACTGTAAAATTTCTGCGAGGGGAAGGTGTTTTGAACCGCGGTGAAGTAAGTTTTAAGTTGGATATTCCAAAGGCATCTGTCAAATATCCAACTTAAAACTAATATCCAACTTAATCTAACTTCACCGTGGTACGTCTGCGTTGCAGGGAAGAAATTTGCTTTCAGAATAAACGAACATGGAGGAGTGAAGTTTCCTCAGAACTGGGGAATACTGAACAGGCAACATGTTTGCAGATGACGTTTGAAACAAGTGTGAGCAATGATCATGTGGAGTTTTAGTTACCATTATTACTGTTTTATGCAGATGAAACAATAATAATGGGTGTGACACCAGAAGAATTTTATATTATTATTGCAAAATGTGTTAAAATCTGTTAATACTAGTAAAACAAATGTAGTCATTTTGGTCATGGAAAAATAGAAAATTCCAGAAATTTACTTTTCCTTTAACTTAAGTTTTGTCTCTTCATTTGATTTGAGTCAGAGAACAAATCAGACATGTGGGCGGTGATTCAGAGGTCTGAAACCAGGCTAGAGATTTCAATCCAAGATATGGATGTTCCGGACTGGCATGAGGAGGTAGAATAAGTACGAGGTGTACATGTAAATGCTCCGTATTTGTATAGCGCCTTTCTAGTCTTTTTGACCACTCAAAGCGCTTTTACACTACATCTGCATTCACCCAATGTCAGCTGGGATTGGCTCCAGCCCCCCCCTATATGCAGGATAAGCGGTTGACGATGGTGATACAGTGCTGATGATTTGAGGCCATTGCAACCTTCAATAAGCCAAAATTTGTCATGGAAACAATTACAGTACTTACAGCTCCACACACTGCTACGCGTTTCATTGACTTCCCAAAAACATCCCCGTAATCCAACAGAAGCAAACACAATTCATGCAAATAGCCGGCTTCACAGGAGCAATAGGCACAATTATTGGCACTCATATAAAGATCAACTTTTTTATCTTTCATTTCCATTGTGTATATCATAATGTATTCTCTTAAAAATTCTTTATTGTCAAATGCGTGTTGAACGTAAACTCCTCTTAGGAATTTCACCATTCAATGTGAATTTATCTGAGAATATTCTTAAATAAGGAAATCTATTCAGTGATTGCTCCTTGCCTATGTCGTGATCCAAAATCCTGTTTGCGGCGCAGCAAAGTGTCGTGAATCAGCACTAAGACTGACACTTAAGATTTAGTCCTGCACTTCACTTAAATTAGACTGAGATGTATAATGACTAACTTTTAAGCGCAGCTTTGAGCCACGATTTTTTTTTACTCTTAAATCAATTCTTAGCAGTGTCTGGGAAGCCTGATGAATACGGGCCCAGACGGCTTTGTCCCAAGGCCATGCACTTTATGTTTGACTGAAGGTCAACATGACCTATAGGCCTATATATTAGTTTGTGCAGCTTTGGAGAACAGATGAATTAAACAATATAATATGATTACCCCAAGAACTGTTCAAGTTGAAAAATTGTGCAATAATAAAATAACAATAACAAATCTTGCTAATTAAAAAAAAGACTACGTTTAAGTAGCTATTGAATGTTTCACAGAGTGTGCATGTTTGCATATTTGTTTATTTACTTAACATTTTCTAATGACTTGAATTGTGTTCCCACAATGTTCATATGTATAACTAGGCTTTGTGGAATAAAGGGAAAGAAAAGGCTGAGTGAAGAACAAATCACGACAGACAGCAGAGTACCTTACATATACATTTGTATTTAGTATACAAAAAATTGAAATATTTCACCACACAGACGTGAAGTAATAAAAAATAAGACAGAGTTGGAACAAGTATACAAGTCATTTTACATTACATACGTACATGGCCAATGCATTTCATCATACAACCTCTCCTAAGAATTACAGTGGGTCAAATAACCAGAGAACTTCCATGCAATAATAGATTAGAATTTTTTGCTGTGTTTCTCAGCTACATTTCGACACCTTAGCTAGGCAGGACCGCACAACATGATTCAACCACACAGTTTGCTATGCCAACCAAAGACAGCGTGACAGAGTGGACTGCAGTGCTGCGTCTCACCGCGGGAGGGAGACAGACACACTGCAGGCCTGCGACCATACAGAAATGCATTTCATAAAGGTGCAACCTGCACCGTTTGCCACAAGGACAAACTCCACAAAGATTGGCCCCTTTATTGTACACTGTTAGCAACACTTCTAACTTCAACATGAGCGACTACAGTATAATCCCTTTAGTTTGAATTGTTTAAGTTTTAAGAGCTAAATATTCAGGTACATGTAGATAGATACTCATAACGCATTCCTTTTCTAAGGATTATTCTGTATATCACTAGATGTCATTAATATCCATTTTTTCTTTCTTAATGTCCCACAGAGTGTTGAAACGTTGTGTGTATTACTACAATACAATATGAAATAGTACCAAAAACGGACACTAAAAAACTTGGCTTAAAACAATACTGTCCTTTTAAGCACTACCCTTGACTGTCAAACAAAGCTGTCTCACTGATACCGACACACACACACACACACACACACACACACGCGCGCACACACACACACACACACACACACACACACACACACACCAATGCTCATATACACATCTGTGACACACACACACGCACACACACACACACACACACACACACCAATGCTCATATACACATCTGTGACACACACACACGCACACACACACACACACACACACACCAGTGTTCATATACACGCCTGTGACACACACACATTCACTTACACACACACACACACACACAGAGGAAAAGACACACACAGAGGAACAAACACACACACACAGGATCAGAGACACACACACACACACATAGAGGAACAGAGACAATATTTAAACAATGGGATAAATTAAGACAGAATATTTTAAGACCCATGCAAGCTCCTCCACCCCCAGAGGCAGAACTCAGGCAGCAAGGTTGTACAGCCCCATGTTTGGCATGCTTATCTGTCACGTGTTCACAGTTAGATGAAGTTACCCCAAGACACCTGACTAAGATCGGATGTGTGTCGACAGGTCAGTAAGAACACAACCGTTTTCAAGGAACAGATCCTTTTTTACCCCATAAGACTGGATTGGCACAGAGCAGATCCCATTTTGGTAAGTAAAGCAACTTCAGGCCATTTGACAAAATTCTATTAACTCAACGTTCACTTATGGGCTGTTTCCAGAGCCTTCAACCTAATGTCATGGGCTTCATTAGCGAAGAAACCCAGTGAATGACCCACAGAAATCTTTGTTGATGAAGACCATGAGATACTGTACAGTTCAAAAGCTGGCAAAAAACCTAGCAAGTGGACCTTAAGTTAAGACTAATTTGTCAAACTACTCTTCACAAGCAGGGCTTGAACATTCATTCTTGACCTTGTAGCCACACCTCAGTCTTTGACTGATCAGGCAGCAAGGTGTGGCTGATGGACCTGATAACTGATGGGAACTTTTTTTTTTGTCAAACTCCTATTCACAAGGTCAAGAATGAGCCTTCACACAAACCTAATTTTAGGATTGAGGCTAAAAGTCATTGGATTTAAAACTTTTGACTGCATTTCTAAGTTTTGCTAGGTCTCTTTCATATAATCATTTTATAGGAAAATGTTCCTATCAGTATAAATAACACGGCACTCATTAAAGGAATGGCTGAGATGTCCGAAAGGGCAAGGAATATGAGTAGCTAGACAGTCATTACAGTTGACCAAGGCTCCTAAACCACTTAGGTTAAGGGCAAAAATGAGCCCCTGGGCCCCCATTAACCGCTGTTCCTTTAACTTTGTCCAATGTTACAGCTTTTCAAAGCTAGAACACTACCTGGCCCCAGATTTTCTGTGTGGCCATCTGATTCTAAAAACAGTGATTTGGCAATATGCAACATATTTGCATAAAACAAAAATAATGAAGGTCTTATTTTGAAACAATTTTTGACATAAAGCCTCTATTAGAAGTGAAAAGCTTCAATATTAAGTAGAAATGCGACATTCCTAAATCTCAGCAATTTACTTGGTGAATACAATGTCATTACTGTTTGGAATGATGAATAAAACTACAAAAATAAGACCCAGGTTGTAATAAACTGGACTTTCCCTTTAACATCTCACTTTGATTTGTTGTAGATAAACACGTCATTACCATTTAAGACATCATGCTCTATTTTTTAAATTCAGTGAATGCAGTAGTATTAAGTTTTTACTATCAGTTCCAACAGATTTCTGTGTGCATGCCAGTAGCGTGCTGATCTTAGATCAGGAGCTGAGGGTAACTTCAGACCTGAAGGCGTATTCACAGTTCACTTTCTATCTAGTCAACACTGCATTAATTCAAGCAAGCATGGTTGATAAAGAAGAGATGTTGCAGTATGAAGACAAGTAATAGAAATCTTTGTCAGCCCTCGTGGCAACTTGATGTTGTTCTATGAGTAAAAAGTAGATGGACAGTCAGATGTCTTTCACAGAGAGCCTATGAACCTATTCAGTAATGGTAAAAAAATCCAATTAAATATTGGTCTTGTTACCAATATTGCTTTGAAAAAACATCAATATAAAGAAAGCAATCTCAGCAGTGCACACTCACTCTCGCTAGTTTTTCTCTCTCATCCCCTTAATCCAGAGAAGTAGTGGTTGTTGTTCATGGTGATGTAGTGTAGTGTTTTAGCAGTGCTCCCTCCTCAGAACATGGTGCACCTCTTTCCCCTCTTCTTCACGGGCGGAGGGCAGAGCACGGCTCGGATAGCCTCGTCGAATACCGTCTTCAGGCCTCGCTGGGTCAGAGCAGAGCATTCCAGGTACTTCACAGCCCCTGAGGAAGGAAGAAGGCATGATGGGTGTCTCACTACGTTAAAAAAAAAAAAAAAAAACCCACATGGACCCGGACTGTGTGAAGTTTGACAAACAGATCAATACAGAAGGTCCATCTTTGTTATGCTGTGCTTTTATTTTGGGAACCCCTACTAATCACTCTCTCTTTGAGGGTTACTTAGGTGTTTTTATTTTTATTTTTTTACACAAGTGCACCAGAGAACGCAGCCACACAGCAATGCCAATTACCTTGGCTAAACCAAGTAATCAAGGAAGAGAGAGGGGAGTGGGTAGAAGAGAAGAGGTTTGTCTTTTGTTTGGTAATTCTTCAGTTTATTGTGTATTTTATTTCATCTGTATTAGGCAATAGGCATTTGTATTTTATCTATGGAAATATTGGTAACGCTAAAGCTGGGCTAAGCGTCCTCTCTGCATATAAGCTTCGCAGCAGCAACCGTCGCCACAGTTTGCTAACCCACAACATTAGTTACATTACTTGCTGCGTTGTAATCAAAGAAGCAGCAAACTCTTATTTTTCAGACCTGATCGTTAAACAGGGTCAAAATCCCAGAATCCTCTTTAAAACCACAAACTCTGGTGCCCAGCTTAGCCAGCCAGCTGAATCCTCCACAGAGAAGAGAGAAGAATTTCTTCATTTCTTTTATAACAAAATGGTGGAGAATTCATAGATGAAGATGTCCAAAGATTTCCTGCAGTTAAATGACTCCAAGCCATAAATTACTCTAGTTACCCCCGGACCCTGTACTACCAGAATCCTTGCTGCCCTTCACTGGTCACCTGTGACTTTTAGAATTGATTTTATTGTTTGTTTTTAAAGCCTTGAACTCAGTTTCCTCTGTTGTATTAATAGGGTTTGTATGTGTTTTTGAAAGGTGCTATATAAATAAAGTTATTATTATTATTATTATTATTATTTCACCCAGCGATTGGCCAGGTGTGCAGAGGTGTGTTAGCAGGGCAACAACATAAATGCAATCAGAGAGACTGTCTGAAAATGTTTTATATCCTCTTGAGTAGGATTTGCTGTGTCGTGACAAAAAAGACACGCAAAAGATAGAGTTTTTTTGGAGAGAGATCAGGGAGGCACTGTGCAGCCAGAAGGCTATTTCAGTGTGGCTGCCAGGAAGGTTAGCAGCATGCTGTACTATGTTAGGAAAAAAGACAACAGTAATGCAAGGTATATGTAACAAAGAAATTATCATGAAGGGTTAGGTTAATGATTTTACTTTTTTGTTTTGATGTAAGCAAAGTTCCCCTTGATTCATTTGCTGAAAGGAATGGCTGAACATGTCTGCTTTATTTCTGAGAGGGAGATGAGAAGATGGATATTACACTTCAGTCCGTCTATTTACGTACAGAGCTGTGGCCTGTACTACGAAGCGGGGTAACTGGCTTATTCAGGTAACGTCAGGAGTAACTTTGTGATGTCGGGTGTAACTTCCTGATTTACCTGTACTATGAAAGTTGCATAGGTTTTACCCGAGGTCTGTTCCCATGGCAATTTATGCTACATCTCTAAACTGCTCCGAGCAGGTGATCTTTGTGGTTAACTCAAAGTTACCTATATACATTGGCTACACACCGCATCTGTACTCAGTGTTAATGACATCAATACACACCACTGGATAAAATATTTTTAGATTTCATCCTGACTGGTTCCACTGCAGTTACAGCATTACATTTATACAGGAAGCGCCGCAGCCTCGTGGTAGGGAGAAGATATTAATTAACGGCCTGATTTATGAGATGTAGACCATCTGTATAGGCTAACTTCATTGAATTGTCCAAAATCTTTCCACATATTTAGATATGGTAAATTTGCAAGAACAAAACTTCTGAATAGCCTGTGCCCTATTTACAGCAAGTCTCTAAAGTCCCTATGCATATGATAATATGGTGACTGTATGCTGAAATCACCAATATTTCCTGATTGCTAAATCCGATTGAGTAGCAGTGTAGGCTAAAATATAATTTTCCACTACAGGCATAATACACGGCAGAGGTGTGTGTGTGTGTGTGTGTGTGTGTGTGTGTGTTATGTTGCAGCCTTGCAAAATGACACAATGTCCTTGACCAAAAAAAAGTTTCAAAAATGTCTGACTATAATTTCAGAGAGATTATTACCCCACTCCCCTGGCTGGCTGGTTTTATTACAGTGGACCTAATATACAGTTATACATGTATATATACCGTACATACAGAATTACAACAAAAACACTGAGGAGATAATTACAAATTTACTCAATGCACTGCCAACAAACTTAACCTGGATTTGTTGTCCACCACGGTGTTTGATGTTTTTTTAAACTCCTCATATCCTGATGCTATAATCACGCATTCTTCTTGGGAAATAACGTTCTGTCTGAAGTTCCAAACCACCTATCACCTCCTCTGACGGTCACTAATTCACACGTTATATCTTGTTGCGTTATGTGCTGGAAGTATTCAGCCGTTATAAACAGTAATATCCATTCCTCAGTAGTTCTGAGCAGTGGCTGTAGTGCTGGTTACCAGGGGCCACATTATTTTTTGGTGCAAGCCATTTTCGGTCCCAGGTCCGCTTGGTGAGCACACGTTTGGTCTCTGAACAGACACAAACCTGACAACCTCACTGTGACAAGACTTCAGGAAGCTGAGCACAGTCACACTCAGACCTTTCCAGCACAGTACTCCCACTAAAACCACAAACTGTGTTTTTTACATTTCTGCGTGTGTGCAGATTAAACCAATGAGATCCAAAATGATAATTAGTAGGTCTATTTTTTTACTTTTGGACACAGGTAGGCTAGCTGTTTCTCCCTGCTTCCACTCATTATGCTAAGGTAGGCTAACCATGTCTTGTTCCAGCTGTGTAACTGAGGCCCTTCCTTTTTAAAGAAAGTTTATTATTATTCTATTTCTTTAAGTCTTTGATCTGAGGCTCCCTTAGCCCTTCATTTATACCTCAATAAGAAATAACTAGTAAAAGATGTCATGTAAAATGTGAACTCCTATGCCTATGACTCCATTTTCAGTAGACTGGGTGTGGCTTCTTGATCAAACTTGGCTGTGATGTGAATGCAGCAAATGTCTTGTTTGACCTGATTTGTGACAATAACTTGCTCCATATATTTCATTTCTTATCTCTCGTATACATCACACATCATTTGTGGCAAAAGAAATGCTAAGGACTGATCTAAATCTTCATACAAAAACATATCCAGTTGTGCACGTGGCACAGCCTCACCAATCTCTCTTGCCATAGCCAGGCCCTGCGGGTAGGTGATGGGGGAAAGCTTCTTGTCTCGCAGCCTCTCAATGGTGTCCTTGTCATCTCGCAGATCCAGCTTGGTGCCCACCAGGATGATGGGTGTGTTGGGGCAGTGGTGTCTCACCTCAGGGTACCACTGGGGCACCATACACACAAACACACACACACACGTGTACATATGCATATACAAATGACGAAGTCAGTGAGAGAAAAGAAAGAGAGCAGTTAGCCGGATAAAGAGGCAGAGCGATGTGCTCCTTTCCACGATGACATTCAACAGACTCTGAGTTGTGGGACTAGAAAAGGCTGTTTTCAGTAGATCTGTTTGAATGGAAGCATAGTTGAATGAACACAAAACATCCTCAGGCAAAGCAACCTCCAATCAAATGACATGATGAGAAGATCCTATTGGGCCAGAAGCATACAGACTCTACAGAGGGAGGTTGGACCTTTAGGAAAGTGTGATTTCATATGAGAGCGTCTCATGATGCTCAGCAGACCAAACCACAGCCGGCTGTCACGCTCCCTCTGCAGAGTGTGTGGACTCATTCAGACCTCGCCTCACAACATGTCTCTGTAACACTACCCCGGGGGGATCAGTTTAAATCCAGACTGTTCTAAGCCGAGGTCTGAACGGGTGGGGCGGCGGTGTGAAAAGCCAGGTGGAGCCAAAGATGTGCCTCCTTGTGGTCAGACTCGGCATAGAGGGGGGCAAAGGAAGGGGCAGGCGCTCAGTCAGCGTACTGACCTTAGCTCGGACGTTCTCAAAGGAGGCCGGACTGACCAGGGAGAAGCATATCAAGAACACATCCTGGGAGAAAACCAGAGAGATGGCTAGTTGAGAGTGAGGTTTGTGTGTGTGTGTGTGTGTGTGTGTACATGGAGCCACAGAAAAAGATTTTTCTTAAGTTTGAGTTGAGTCCAGGCGTTACATGAATCATTCCATCAATATGTTTAGACTGCTATTACAACACATAGTTTTCTAGACACTAACACTTGTCAAAGAAATGTTTAGTAACTAACAGCATTTAGGAAAGAAGAGCCGTCATTACGCCATACAGTATCCCCCACCATTGGATTCGTGATGAACTGAAATAAACTTCTGTGCTTTGATTACCAGAGTGAAATCTGAATGAGGTGATCGGCTGAGCGACCCGCCTGTCTACCTGTGCACACTCTGCCCGTGCATGTGGATATTTTCGTTTTGATACCTATAGAATCTATCTGTCTCTTACTAGTTCTCCAGCGTTGCCTACCCAAGCTTTAAACTATGAAGAGTTTACATCCTTATGTCCACCATATTCCATGTTATGCCTTTTCCTCTGCAGTCTATACAGGACATCATACATTAGCAAATTAGTTTAGTGACAGCTGGTTTGTTTTGTTGAACACATCATTATTTAGTGTGCTGTAAATCTACACTTAGTGTAAACATAACTAGGCTATGGCTGGATTCAGACCAAATCAGGCACTGCAGCGAATGGCAGGACCTCCCATTCAGGGAGTAGTCGGTTTAGGCTACTGTGATGTCGGAAAGAAGACCACAGCAACCTGCAGTGGCCAGTCCAGCCACAGCGCTCCAGTCAGTGTGAAGTGTCACGGAAGTTCATGGACCAAACTAAGAATCTCTCCCTGTCTTGGGTTTCTTTCGTGTGCCCAGCTTCGATGTCTGTGTCTTGCAGTCTATGCTGAAAAATAGCAACACAAGAAGCTTAATTTGGTTTGTGTGCATTTGTTTGAGACAGAAAGAGAGAGACAAGCAGAAAGCAGTGGTCGAGCAACCTAGAGAGTGAATGAGGAGAGGAAGTGCTGGGTACTTACTGATTTGGTCTGAATAAGGCCTATGTTTGAACTTACCAACAGCTGGTGCAACATACCCAAAATCAAAAGTTTGAACCCAATTCATAATTTTAATTAATAGCGGCAACTCAAAGTTACCTCATTGCACTTTCATAGAGCAGGTCTAGACTGTATGCTTTATAATATTATTTACAGAGACCAAACAATTCCCACCATGAGCAAGCACTTGGCAACAGTGGTAAGGAAAAACTCTCTTGAACAGAAGCCACAGAAAGCTGAGCAGAGCTTGGCCCTGTGTTGTACTGTTGAAATGTTGTATAGCTATCACTTTGGAGGCTTCAGATAGAGCTGAGCAATAATGTGTGAATGCTTAAGTCTCTGTGTGTGTATGTGTGTGTGTGTGTGTGTGTGTGTGTGTGATTGGGTAGAAGGGGTGTGAATACCGTCTGTGGGTAAGACAGTGGTCTGAGCCTATCGTAGTCCTCCTGTCCTGCTGTATCCCAAAGGCCCAGATTCACTGGTTTCCCATCTACCATCACATTGGCAGAATAGTTGTCAAAGCTGCAGGAAGGCAGATACTATGTTGATTAAAATGCATTTAAGAGATGAGAATCCTGTTCCAAAAGTAAGACAACCTCATTCTAAATCACATTTACTACACGCCAGCCTTCAAACTTAACCATGCAAGAATGAACTTTACAGCTATAATAACCAGGCAGGAAGGTCTGGTTTCAGCTAATCCAGCCAATGAAATATTTGACAAACCAAAGCATTGATGCAAAAATCTTAGGAAGAAAACAATATTACCATAAATTCATTGATTTGGAATATATTGGCAACTATGGTTTAAGGTAGAAATATGAAATTAAGAGCTACCATGTTACAAACGTTAAAATCTTACTCACAGTTAGCAATTTTATATTGGATCACAGTATATATTGTCATAGCACGGTATGGTCCTGTAACATGAAGCTACTGCTACAAATAACTAGTAACTGTGAGAGTTTGTGCAGCGTGTGGTTTACTCACACAGTGGGGATGTATTCACCAGGGAAGGCATTGGTGGTGTAACTAATCAGCAGACAGGTCTTACCCACAGCCCTGAAGAAGAGGGACAACAGAGGATACATGAGTACACATTTAGTACAGTTACTCATATGTGCAAAAACAAGTTCTGTATAGACTGTGTGTGAGTGTGGATGCATAACTGTGTGTGACAGGCAGGCTGCTACTCCCTTATACTGTGCCACACGAACACTGGCCTACATTCATGTCGCCTGAGGGACACAGTAGCCCTCCACGCGCAAACACACACACACACACACACACACACACACACACTTACATGCTGGCTGATCACATACAGTACACCCCCCCCCATCTATTCTGACACAAGCCGCAGGATGCCTCACAGATTGGTGGTGCCATGGATGAGTAAATTGGCTGTGTGCTCATGTATGAAGTAATGAGCAACTTTGTGTGCAAATATCAGAGTTTTTAAGAATTTCCTCAACAATAAAACACGGCAGTCCGATAATGTAACTGTGCTACAGGTTGATCTTATGGTCATCAGATTGAATTTTGTCCTTGTTATTTTTGAGAAATTGTCTTTTGTCTGTTAGTTTGTCACAGCGGTTGGCTCTACTTACTACAATACCCATGAGCTGCATAGGTTTTCTACCATTTCATACCATTCAATATTGATAATTATCACGATAAATATAAAATCATTATTTCTTTCAAGTTTAAAAGCTGATTTTTTCTCTTGAGTGAAGATTGAAGAAACCAGATGGTTAATTATGTAGTTAAACACTTCATGCCAAACAATGGATCACTGAACATCTAACATTCAAAACTATTATGATAAAAAAAAATTTCAACAAATATTAATCTTTTTTCAGTCTCCTTTCCTCAACAAAATTATAATTCTAATAGAAAAATGAAGTGCTAATTTGTCCGTGATTCAAATAAATTTAATCCGATATTTATTGATGATATACTGAACATTTATTATAATGTTATTGAGGAAAATTATATTGCAATAATTATCATTATTGTTTTATTGCCCAGCCCTAATTGTAGTAAGGCACAAATCAGAGCTGTAACAGTTCATCCAAAGTTGAATTAATTTAAAGTGCAGATTGTCTGTTTATTAGGGAGCAAAAAAATTTTCAGCTCTGTAATGTTATGTTGAAAGCTTATGCTTTTATGTCCGCAGTTTTGTGGTCAAAGAACCAGATGTGTTCTAAAACAGTTGTTCATCTTTTGTACTGATGATTCAACCAGTAATACCTAAAACTGTCTATTAAAGATACGAGCGTGACTTTTACTCTGGACACACGAAATGTCTCCTCCCATTCACAACTCTATTGCATATTCAATCAATTTAAAGACACGAGTGGATACAAATGTTCTCTGGGTGGAGCAAAATTGAAGCAAAGAAATGTATGTGGTGTGAGTTGAAAGTGTTTTAACCAGAGTAACAAATTCCCACATATCCAAGTTTTATGAATCCAATACATACATGGAGACAAGAGGAAAAGGAGAGGGATGGAGGAAAATAACAGAAAGAAGTAGAGTTTCTGAGAGTCTGAGCTGTAAAAACATTAAATGTGAATTATTTCTAAGGGCAAAAATAAGTTCAATTGTATAGAAGTTGATAAGAAAACTAGAAAAGGCAATTTCTGAAGAAACTGCAGTGTGAATGCTGACAGACATGACCGCTGATTTATTACCTCACTAAACACTTTCCTAATGAGTTATGGTCTCACTAGTTTCAAGTCTTCTTCAGCACAGCATGATGTCATTTAGTAAATGATGGTCCCATTTAGAGGAAAAATACACAATAAAGCACGGGATGCTTTAGGGCGTGGCTACCTTGTGATAGAATAGATAGATAGATAGATAGATAGATAGATAGATAGATAGGTAATTTAGGTACCTAAATGATTGACAAGTTGCTACCATGGCGACCTGTCAGGCCTAGCAATGCCTATCCCTCCCCAACTCCACCCTCTTTTCCAAATATGCTCTGTGAACACACCTTCACCAGAACAGAACAGGAACACTCCAGACACACGCGCAATAATATTGAGGCCCGTGTTGCCAGCTAGCTACACAATGTTTGTACAATCTGTACAGAAGCTTTTGCAATGGATAAAAACTGACAACAAAAACACACAAGATTGTATGAATACGCAAACCAAATACTGCATTTTGTCTGAACACACCTTCCCTGTCTGGTAAACACCCACATCTCTCAAACGCCTCACCCCAAGTCTGTAATACAGGCTTTCTGTTAGAAATTTGTAGTTGGAAGGCTATGAAAAAAGAACCCTGATGACATCATCAGGGTTCTTTTTTCAGACTTTAGAAAGCTCCCTCCAGATCCAGTACATTCCCCATGTCAAGAAAACTGAGCTTGATGTTTAAAAACGCTCCTTCACCTGATTTGTGACATTTCAGATTCCCTTCAACCTCTTGCTGCACACACACCCTGTGATACACATATTGATCTGCTCCACTGTAGAGGAGGATTAAGGTCACACTTTTTCCTGAAAAATGAAGTCTGAGAAAAAGTCACAATTCTTGATAGAGCAGCATTCGACCATTTAAAGTCATAACGGTTTAGTTTCAGAATTCTGACTTTCATCATCAAACATGACTTCAACATTAGGCTCATGTTCTGGCTTCCATCCACACCTAGCAACAATATTAGGATTTGAAAACAGAACTGAAGAAAAACCTGCAGCACGTATAATTCCCCATGAAGCAGACTGGGAGCTGGATGCAGTAAGAAAGGCACAGTGTGAGCAGAATTAGGGCAGCGGGGCCTGCTTGCCACTGACAGGGCCACAAATTCCTTAGCGTGCATCAGCACTTCAGCCTGCCTCCAGTGGCCTACGAGGCGTGTAGGTGTTCCCGCATAGCATCCCGAGGCGCTCCGCACCCACCGCCACAATCAACCTGATGCCACGATGCGATCTAACCGAATTCAACCACGAAGCAGATACGGGAGGAAATCTATCGAGCATCAGGGCACAGAAAACCAGGCCGATCGACACACTGACGAGCCGCAGCCCCTTTTCCTACATAGCATCCTCCCATCATCCATCCATCCGTGGACGCCTGACAGAATCCCTCCGGAGAAACGCGTTGTGTTTCGGTGAGCATGCTCTTACCCGTCGCCGACCACCACACATTTGATCGCTTGCATTTGTACAGGAGCTAGAGGCTTTCAGGGAACCGGTACGAGTGGTTTAATGGATCCAACGGAGGAGAGTAGCGAACCAGTCCGCTCGGCGATGGAGCCGCAGTAAAAGGGGTCGATGGCGAACAGTGCCGAAAGACTCCGGAAAATGTCGAGTGTGTTTAAAGGGACAGACAGCTCAGTCAAAGAACGTGCGTTGACGCTTCGATACTCTTTGGCGCAACAGAGGAATCCTCGCACAAGGGCATTCACTTCGTATACTTCCGTCTTCGCTTCAATCATTTTACTGAGAAGGCGTACATCACTTCTACTACTACTACTACTGCCATTCAATAGGCATATTCTTAAAGCTTTGCACTGGATGTCAGTTGGGTGTAGAATAGACGTGATGATTAATAATAATAATTAATAATAATAATAATAAAGAACTGAGTAGTATTCCCATGAAGAGTAAAGTGAGCTGGATGTTTAAAATGGGAGGAAATCAGAAGGAGCTTTATTGCCAAGTAGTATTTTACATGTATGAGGTTTACATAAATAAAATATAGATTAATAAATATAGAAATATGGAATAAACAGATGTCATATAAGAATGATAAAAAAATAGAGAAAAATAAAACAACTATTTGCAGAGAATGTCATATATCAAATAAAGGCCTAGTATGCAAAAGTATGCACACTTTCCCTTATTTTCTACAAGGTTTCACTATCCTTCTATTAACTGCATTAAGGGACTTCTATCTTAGAAAAGGAAGTGTTCACATCCAGAGCGAGTGTGATCATTCCTTTCCTTTCCATTCTGGCGGTTGTTTATTAATGTTTTCATTTCAGATAGGTGCAATACTAGACCAACAGACTTAGCTCCATGGTTTCATGAGGAACATGATGGTGGTTTGTACACAGTGGCAAGACTTTCAGTACGGTGGAAATCATTGGAATGATTTTGAGCACCAAGTCAAAAAATCTAAATTCGAATGACAAAATATCAATATTCAAATTATCCACCACCGATGGGTTCAGTCTAAAAATACTTGCATCCTTATTTAGTCTTAATAAACCCAACAATCACCACATGCAGGAACTACAGTACAGTAAAATAAAAGGTTTCATAGGCTTCAAATGTATGTAAACTATCTTGCCACTTGAGGATCTTTGGCTGTAAGTCTGAGTGACCTCATACAGTACACCCCCAGCAACACATCACACTCTGAATAATGTAATGGTATCTGTTAAGTAGAACGACAGACAGAATCATCCACCCATTAAGAAAGATCATGTGATATTTATTTCATAAATGACCACATTTAAGTGATAGAAAAATCAAAAATGGAGCAAACTGGTAAAAGCAAAAAATAAAATGACAAATATCCATCACATATCTTAAACAATGTCAAGACATAAAACAGCAATAGATTTTATAAAAGACTGTATACAGAATTTACTTATAAAAATATCACTTGTAAAACAGCAGAAAACATTTTATGAATCGGTTTCCTTCTCCTGTGTCTGAGCTCGAGAGGGGCAGCCCTCTGCTCTGACTGATATTAAGGCATTTTTGAATCAAATCTCATTTTGTATGTAAACACGCTAACAATGCTACACTGCCTTCAATCTAATTTATCTCAGTTAAAGGGAAAGCTGCAAACATTAGAGTGGAAATGGTTTGGCAATGATCTGAGCACATGTAAAAAATTAAGACGGGCTGTGATCAGATGAAATAAAATATCCTTTCAACAGCAGTTTAGGCTCATATCCAGAAATTTCTTTCTGATGTTTAGGGTCACTCCTCCATTTAAAAGAGGGGAAATAACATACATTTTGAAACAATACAGGATTTGACCATCTCTCTATTACTGCGTGACTAAAAACTGACACTTGACCTCAAGAAATGATAAAACATGTTTTCAAACTGGCAATAATCTCTTCCTTTTGGCAAACCTTTTGTTAAAAACTAACAAAAAAGGGGAAAAGTCTAATGCGCTGGGAGCAACCCCTGAAAGTGTTCATTACACATGCTGGGGGTTCCCAACACAAGTGATGAACTCAACAAACAACTTGACTGATTACTGAGCTATTCACAGAACTTCACAAGTAGTAGGGGTAAAAATGTATATTTTAGCGATAGATGGAAGGTTATCAGGTCGCTCCCTCATTAATCTGCTCATTAATCTAAAGATCTAAAAAATTATCTAAAGATATCTTGCATAAAATATTCATCCTCTGGGGACCATGAATATTTACAACAGATATAGATGTTGGGCCATGCTAGTGACGGGGTTCTAGAGCCAGCTGTTGGTCGTTTCACCACGTTGGTCCAGACTGAAAGATCTCAAAAACTATTACACACAGTACAGACATTCATGGTTCCTAGATGATGCATCCTAATCACCTTTCCTCTAATACCACCATGGTGAGTGAAATGTCTCACCAACTAATGAATGTATTGATGAAATTTGCAACACACATTCATGCCCAGCCATGGATAATTGCAATAGCTTTTTTATCTAGTGCCATTATCAGGTCAAAGTCTCACTTTGTCCAAACATTTGGTTTGTGACCAAACACCTGCAAAACTAATAACATTCCCATCAGCCTTAGCTATACTTCATATGAATTGCTAACTAGCAGTTTCTATAAACATTATATCACTTAATATCAGCATGTTAGTATTATAACTGTGAGCATGTTAGCATGGCAATGTGAGCATTTGGCTCAAAGCGCAGCCTCATAGTGCCACTAGCATGGCTGCAGACTCTTTGTCTTGATAAGCTAAGGACTGAAGTGCAAGACTGGATCAGTAGATGGATAGACTCACAGACCAGCTAAGAAAATTCCAAACTTTGCAAACAGTAAATTGAATCTAGCCTTCTAAGGATGATTCTGGTTCATGACAGGTCGGCATTTTGTTTTGGTTTGCTCCAATCAGTAGCAAGTCACATATCTGTCCAGCTGACATCATTTTCAGTCTGGATGCTGTGTTTTCACAACAATCAAAAAAACATGTCTTTAAGAGATTTTATGTCCGTGATTTGTACAGCTGTCCATCTCATCCATGCTTGTTGCCGTTTTTGTGATGCAGAAATAGTGTAAATCGGGTCCTGATAACAGCTGTCAATAAGAACAGCATCAGACATATTTAAATCACAGAACAAACTGCAGCTTGGGGTGGTGATAGAGAGGTCTGGAGGTAGGTTAACCAACGTATTTGGACGACAAAACTAAGGTGAACAGTAAAATCATAAGTGAAATTGTCTGTTACAGGGCCACTTCCTGATTAAGCTTTAACAGTGAGTGACTTTTACCAGCATTTCAGATGTGCTCAGTGTTACTTTAACCTCCAGATAAAAATTTTAGATAAACTGGATGAACTTTTTTCTTGTTTGCAACCTCTCTGATCGTCTGACTGCTCGGCTTTCTTGAAGAAGTCTAATGAATTATAAATTTCATTTAAATTTTCAATTTGGGCTGATCTACCAACACTGCCATCCCTACTGAGGCAAAATGATATGAAACCAGATTAAATGATTTGCTAAGATTACTGTTAGAGTGTATCTTTTTTTAAACTAAGTATATATGTTGGGAATATAGAAGTGAGGCTCGTACTGATGAGGTGTGTGAGTAAGAACAAGGATCCTACAATTTTACTATGCCAGACTTTTTAAACCCTGAATTCCTTGACTAGATCTGATTATTGTGTTAGGTATGATTCCAGGAATATATCCCAGCACAGATTATTTCGTCCATATTACTGTTCCACTGCTGCTTTTCTTGTTTTTTCTAATCTTTTCCAGACAATCATGATTCTCTTTATGCCTTCAGACTGTCCTGAGCTATGCAGGAACCCCGTGAGGGCTCAGAGGTTACTGCTGAGGGGTTGGGGTCTCTGGGTCACTTCTTGGGGCTGCTGTGTCCCAGAGGGGAGCCCTGAACGTAGGTGAGGATGGCGCTCTGCAGGTAGCTGGCTCTGTGGGCCTCGTCCTCCCTCATCCTCAGGATCTCTGCCTCTTTTAGCCGCAGCTTCTCCAGCAAGGAAGACATCTCACTTTCTTTGTCAAGCAGCGCCTCTCTGTGGTTACTGCTCAGTACTGCAGGACAGCAGAAAGGTTTTAAAGACCACAGCATAGAAAATATTTCAGATTTCAGACATGATGTATTTGGTATCTACAATGCCTAACTTGGTTACAGGACACAATATTACATTCTGAACAAATCAGTTGAGTATCTTTTTTCTTAAAATGGTCAAAGTGCTGGTTGACCTGGGTATTTCTACTTTGTTTCAACTAAGATGTTACACATGTAAAACTTGTTGGTCCATCTAGCACCGCATGCTACTGGTATCAATGCAGTTAATTCTTCAGAAAACTGTTTTTTCACTGGAACAATTCACACACAAAAAAAGACACAATAGGGAACTGACTGACTTGTTGAAATGTACTTACTGTAAAAGAAAAAAAACGTGTAAAGTAAAAAGAAAAGAAAGAAACAGTACCTTTAATCTCTCTTTCCAGAGCACTGATCCTCTCTTTGAGTCCTCCCTGCGCTGTCCTCTCTGCCTGTAAATGTCCAATCTGCTCTTGCAGCTCGACTCTCACCCGGCTCACCTCAGCCACCTTCTCCTGGTCCTTACCCGACAGCTCCTGCAACAATGCACTTGGTCAACATCCAAAGCATTTAGATGACAACTAACAACCTTCATTTATCACTGCTGGAGGCTCGTCAGATGGACGAGACCACTGTACAGCAGCCACGAGTGTCAGCTGGGGTTTTTTCCCGCAGCATGCATTGGGTAAGAGATGTGGTACACCTTAGACAGTTGGCAGTTGCAAAGTGGAAGGAGTCATTTCTCTCTCCAGACACAAACATAATGTACGAGTGGTCCAGACCTGTCATGTTATCCCAACCGAGGTTTTCACCAAAGAGTTGTCTATTTCATGACTTGGAAGCAATTCTGATTTGAAAATCCTCAATAAATTCCACTTCATAATTATGTTGACATTATCCTGTTGGACTCTGAAACTCAACCAGACAACCCACATAGAAAAGGTCTATTTTCATTTCAGAAGAGGTTTCTTTCTTGCCACCCTGCCTTATAGGCCAGCTTTATGTAAAGCTTTGGAGCTTGTTGTTAC